GTACAAAAAGAAGAGGAGAAAATGTGGGAACTCGATAATTTAATTGACGTTACTGTGGAACCTATCGTTATCAATCTAGGAGACGAAGATAATTCATCAGAATATTCAGAGGATGAATTTTAATATACCTACTTTTTTATTTTCTTTATTGTACATTTATACAACACTACATTTACTCACCATAATTTGAATTTTCAAAATACATATATTTTTGTGTGGAATAAAAGTCTATTCATTAAATTTAAATAAATATTTTGATAATAATATTGAATAATTTTATTTGAATTACTAAAAACCCTCTTAACCCGGTTATGGTGCTTAAAGTAGCCTCATGTTTTGAAATGCTGTTTTTATATTGTTTACTTATAAGAGAAATGGACCGAGAAATTGAAGCGGCATAGACAAAGACGGATTGTCGGGTACTAAATTTTAGCTACCTGCTACAATTTAGTACAGCACAAATTTTTTTTAAAGTACATCTCATCCTATACCGATAATACATAATGTAAAATTATTGAATATAAGCACCACATTTATTTACGATTTGCATACATAATAAGCTTTTATTACTCTCTCTCATTTCTAAACAGACTATAGTTACAGTTCGAAATGTCCGTTCCAATTCCAATACGTTTTTAATACTTAGCAGCTTTTTCATCCATCCAAAAAAATCATCATCATTCTTCAGATTAATAATTTTAGTATGTTTAAATTCTATGTTTGTCAGGACACCTATCTACATTTAATACGCTTTCCTGCAAAAGTAAAAAATTCTTATGACGGCCCTGACCAGCGCATCTCCATCCAAGGACACTGAAATCGTCTGAACGAGATCAAAGCGCCGACAGCGGAAGGAAGCTGCTGGTTTACATATTCATTACTTTGAGATCAATAAACAAAATTTATAAAAACGCGACGTGCTACATACGTTTTTGAGTTATGACGGTGTCATATATCTTAAGTATTATCAACATACAAAACGACTCGCGAATACCACAAATAATTCTTATCTTATCAAAATATGCCGGGATGTTTTGAAGGCGTTTTCATGACACTTTTATCATTAAGATAAAACTCTTGTTCACAGAAGTATTAACTGAAGAATATCGTTTTTAGCAAAAGTTGCATTAAACAAATTTACTTTCAACGATTATTCCACAATTCTCGGTGTATCAACAAGCGTCAATATGCAAAAATAAGTGATCACTGATCAGCTGCCTTGTGGCTTGTCTGTAATCGTCAGTTTGTTTTATTGTTAGCATGTTACGTAACTGCAAACGAACGATAATTGAAAGCAATAAAATGAATCCTTTCTTAGAACCATAAGAATAATTCTGACAGGCAGGAGTTACTGGATTAATCGAAAGCTTGCTATTTTTATTCGCGCAAAGTATTTGTGAAATATATTCAGTATTCAGTAAACACCGACCGGATTGAAAATAGAATCAACGTAAGTTGTTGTTAACAACGCAAAGGAACCTTTGGTCCCCTGCATCTATAGATAACTCGCATCACAAGACGCATCAGGCACAAAACAAATTTAATGTCGTATTAGACATTTATTATGTGCACCAGGTCCTTCACTAGACACTTGGAGCAGTGTCGGAGCAGTCTAAACGTAATCGTAGACACGAGTCACTTCAAGCTTCGATTTTTCAAATGTTGACACGAACGAAAATACACAACACAACTGCTTAATATAACCTAAGAAAAAGAGACATTAGAAAAACAAATGAATTTTCTCTTTGCAGGTGCTACCGCAAAACAAAAAATGTTTATTATTTATGTTTTCACTAGACCTGAAAATCTTATAATTTTTTATATAACTTTGATTTTTATGAGCCGTTTTTGTTTTTCCCAAAAAAAAATTTTGGAGATCTGCGGCGTCATGTCAAAGTTTACATTGTGAAAGTGGCCGTCATTTGGACCCAAATCGTCCTATCGAAACGTTTTATTTTCGAAATGTGCAGAATTTCATTAGCTTTAAACAGTTTTTTTGAGAATTCAAATTGCTTCAAAACTTTCCCAGATAAAAGAGAAAAACGGAAAAAAAATTTTTCAATTGATTTTCTCAAAAACGCCACCTTTTATTTTCACCGAACTTGGAAATCTTTTTCAATGCCACATAAGCTATCCTTTAGCCTAGCGGCAATATTCCAACTTGCTCCGTTCGGGAGATACTTTTTCGAAAATGCATATATTTTTCATATGGCCGTCATTTTGTCCCAAATCATCCTATCGAAACGTTTTTTTTTCAGAATATGCAGAATTTTATCAACAATAAGCTGATGAAATTGTGCACCATTAAAAAAAACGTTTCGATAGGATGATTTGGGTTAAAATGACAGCTACTTGAAAAAAAATATGCGTTTTCATTTTCGGAATAACGCCATTACGATATAAACTAAACTTTGAGTCTTTTCCTTTTTCTATGGAGCTTCATCCATCTTTTGCATCTTTTTTTTTAATTTAGACTGCAAAGAGGCAAACTTATTGAAAATGAAATATCTCTCAATGATCGATAATGAAATATTACGTGGCAGAATTGTAAAAACAAAACTACAACTTAATTTCTAATTTAATAAAACATTGAATATTGTTTAAAACAATTATTACTTTTATTATCTATACCACTCAGGAAAAAAAATCAAATGTCCTTTGTTTCACAGATTGCCCTCTTCCTGTTTCTGTTTTTCCGGCAATTCAATCAAATTATTTTTTCCAAATCCAAAGAAAACAGTTGTTTCACCCTTTATGTCCTTGAACAAAAAATGTACAATCGTTTATAATCGATTTGCTTTCACGATTAGGTACTATTCACTCTGTAAGTTCCGATAAAATTCGCACTTTTCAATCTCTCACAATATTATTTTCTAGTAGGAATAAGTTTGAAATAACCAGATAATCATTTTAAATAACAGCAATGCTAAAAACCGCATACTAATTTACCTTGTCTGATATTGACCAATTACCGATTGTTTACTTTACAAAGGTCCTTAATCGGACATTTGTAAGTACTGACGACTTACCAGAAAAAAATATTTGTTTAAGTCTGTAATAATAAAAGTTAATATAAATAATACTGAATAAACATTATATATCAAACGCAAGCGATAATATTTATGAAAAACAATAAATAATGATAAATACGAGACAGGAATGCTTCCATAGAATTAATAATTAACTAGTCTCCAGTTCCAGGTAATTATTTAATGAACCGGCTGCGCAATGAACCGAAAATTTGCACACAATTAACTAAACTGACTGAACTATAATAGTAACAATAACAGTATGAAGTAAAACATTTTAATGAATTATATTTTCCTATTTAAACGAGGTGACCCAAAAAAGAATTAAAAATAATTTTCTTAATAGAAAAATAAATTGGAATTCAAACAAAATCTTTTATCCACAGTCAATCCTAAAAACATATTCAAACCTCCCTTGTTTACAAATTAAATATAATTTAATTACACATTTATCAAAAACCGATTAGATTAAGTAGGCTTTCCCGTTACATGATTATTCTCTGGAATATATTTCTACTACCAAAAATTACAAAACAAACTGTACAAGAATTACTGATAATTGAAGCAACAGATAAGGACTTCTGTAAGAGTTTAAAAATTGTTATCGCGAAACATATTGAAAAGTTTCCACATGAAAGCGATAACATCGTGCATCCTGCGTCTTCATTATATACCAAATGAAGGACCCTACATTAACGACAACGATTTTGAAGTGTATTAAAAAGAACTTAGTTCCAAAGCCAACCCTGTAATGCACCATAAAATATTTTATGGTCAAACTACATGCTACTTAAGAAAACATTAACCCAGTAAACTTGATTTATTTTTAACTATTCCCAAAAGCCATCTGCTTCTACAGTGAGGTAGGTTAGGGATAGCACAAAGGGTCGTAAAAATGAAATGTGACTGACAAACAATGCAGCGTGAAGGATTTATTAGGGTAACTTTAGAAATAAACCCTAAAAATTAAAAAAAGTCTTATGTTTGACCATTTTTGGATTGTAGAAACGATCTTATATGTACCTGTATTTGCTACGCTTTTTTCAAACGTGGCATCATTTAACTATTGCAAAATAGAAGGACCGCTCATGTGACGCACTGCTAGTGGATTCTCGCGTTTCCATAAAAAACAAGGGTATAAAGCATTACTTAAAAAGTAATTAAAACTATAGAAGGTACCAGTTGACCTTTAGCAATAAATATATTTCATTTCATTCACTTTACTATACGTTTTATATCAGGCGATTTCAATGTCACTGTTAGACGGATTGGGAAATTGTAGCGGTTTTGCCCATATATCATTGAATATTTAATTCCTTGTTCGTCATGTGCCATACGATTGAGCAGTAGGCGGTGGTTCATTTCACTTGAATTTATCAATGTAGGTCGCGTAGTGCAGGGTTAAAAAAGAGAAGTGTATTTTGCGTTTGCCATCTTAAGGGTCATATAAGTAAGTCATGCGCTCACCTACAAGTAATTGGACCCTGGTTGAATAAATATTTAAGCCTTATGTTTCGAGTAACTTTAATTATTATGTAACAAGTTCGGGACAAATACCCTCCACGAGAATTGTTAGGAAAAAATCGATAATTTCTGAAACATTTTCGAAAGGCGTGGGCTTAAAATAAACTCTTACGTAACGGAAAAGATGCACAGATAATGGAATCCTTGTTTTTCATTTACTACAGGTATTATTTCCAAAACCAAAACGAAACAGTGTTACTTAAAATAATATTAGACGTTATAGTGTCGCAAAGGTCACGACTTAATAATTTTTATAGACTAGTAGATGAGTAAATGAGACCGCATGACAACATTTCTTACATAACAAAAAAAAAATAAAGGCAAACGATTTTAGCCACACAATTTTTCACACATATTCTCCCGCGTTATTCAGCAACATTTACCCCGAGATTTTATAACTAAAAGTTAGGTTATGGCTAGGAATAAAATTCAGTAAAGTGAACATACCTGACTGTCTGTTAATTTTGTCTGTGTCAAGTGACGGAACAAGGCCATTTTTGCACTACCCTGATGAACGATAGATCAAAATCACTCACTAAGACCAAACTGACACCGGAGCGGCGTTGTCCCAACTCCCAACTCGACCAATCGACACAGTACGAAAAAGCGAATTAGAATAGCCAAAAGACGGTAGACGTGTATCGGTGACTTGCGCATTTGCAAGGACAGCTGTTATCTTTGTAAGAGGCATCCCAAAAAATTATTCAATTGGAAATTTTGCATTTTTATTTCTTGGCCGGGACACAAGTAGAAAACTGTTTTTCTAGAAAAACGTTGTCAAAAGTTATTTCAGATATGTGAGAGAGACCGTTCTTAATAGTATGTTCTTTTTTATTTTGAACACACTTTATTCCCCGTATCCTGTATTTAGATTTTTTCTAAACTTATAAGGACTTACATAATGTCCTTAAAGCTTACATACAATATAGATAGGTATTTATAAATATGACCACTGCCATTATAAAGCCAATTTCATAAGGGCTCACGAGATATGGGATCTGCTTACTAAAAACGAAGTCAAATTCGAATTAGATATGTGTTTGCTTTTTTACATATTTTATACCTATTCTTGCTACTGATAGCCTATTATATTTTACCTAAGTACAGTTTATTACACTTGATTTAATGTTTAAGATCCAAGAAAGACCCAAAAACCCAGAGTAAAAGTTAATCTGATTATAGGTAGCCATCAAACATCTGTACATCTGCAACTAGCTAGATATAAAGAAATAGTAAATAGGTACTGAACATCTAATTCAATTCAAGCTTCCTAATTACTCATGTCTAATATGTTTAACAAATATTAGAGCATTAGGTATTTCATTAGGTATTTAGAAAGCGGCCCAATTTTTTATAAATAATAACTGTCATACACGTCATTACGAATTCCACGCTGAAGCAATACACCACATACGCCGTACGTAATAAATCATTTAAGGAAGTTAAATATTACTATCAGAGTATGTCGGTGATAGTTGTGTACGGTAGTAAATGTCAGTAACGTTAAATTTGACAACTGGCGAATGAATCAGTCAAGTTGATCGGGAATCCAGCTGTATTATTAATCGTGACCCTGTATTATTAATTTTTGTAACTTATTGGCAGCGTAAGTAAAAAACTTCCTTCCGCCAATTCTATAATAGGATTAACAAATAACGCAATTTTTAAAATCGGTATGGTTTACAGCAAAGCTGATCCGCAGTCTTTTACTGCATTATTCTGACATTTCCAATATATTTAATACATCATCAGTACCAAATCCCTTAAGTATTCTGTAATTGAAACACTATTGATTAATTTTAGATGGAGCTCCCAAAGTCTTGTGATACTTTTGTGGTTCTACCACCCCTTACAAAACACGGTGTTGTCTTTGGAAAGAACTCTGACAGGCCCCAAGGAGAAATACAAGAAGTAGTTTACATTCCTTCAAGTGAATCTGCAGATCCTGTAAAGGTAGTAATGACCTGAAATGTTTGTTTTTAAATGTGCATATGGTTTAGAAACTTATTAACACTGAAATATGTTTCAGTGTACTTATATCGAAGTAGAATCGGCAGGCGCAACCAAGGCTGTCATTCTGAGTAAACCTAACTGGATGTGGGGCGCCGAAATGGGAGCGAACGAATGCGGCGTTGCAATTGGAAATGAAGCGGTGTGGACAAACGATAACGACGGGGACCATGACCCACATGTGAAGAGACTTCTCGGAATGGATTTAGTAAGGTAACAGTAACGTTAATATCGTTTATGTTCACGCCTAACATGACTAACAATCCGTCCTAGGTTGGGCTTGGAGAGAAGCTCAAGTGCCACTGAGGGTTTAGAAGTGATAACTCGATTATTAGAAAAGTACGGTCAGGGTGGTCCTTGTTCTAAAAACGATTCCGGGTTTGCTTATCATAATTCATTTCTAATCGCTGATCCTACCACTGCTTGGGTGCTGGAAACGTCCGGGAAACATTGGGCAGCTATTCAGGTCACCAGTAAGTTCAATTTCATTTAATTCAAATAATGTCGATTGATAAACAGTTTAATAACTAAATAACATTAACAAGAAATAACCGTTGTTTTCAACCATGCAGATTTTTCCAATGAATATATTTCTTACTAATTTTCATCGTATAAGAGTCGGTTTTCTGAAAAAATACTAGATGTCACTGACTAATGCTATTTTTTAAAGTCCCTAGGTATTGATAAAGTACCCAACATTTTGGGACAAAGTCCCTATTGCTAACCTTGAAGTATGTCAAAATTTTTAACACTAATTAATTTTCACATATTTTTAACAGTTGATTGTTATGCAATACCTCAATACTTCTATCTATAATATTACAATAATGTTTTGATATAAATAACGCAAATTGATACTTTGTTAATCTAGGGAATTTAGTATTTTTTAGTCCCTATTTTGGGGGAAAATCCTTATTGTCAACCTTGAGATCTAAGTGAATTTTCAATACATTTTTATGCAATTGTTTAATTTTCTTATATTTTGAACAGTTCGTTATGCAATACCTAAAAATTTCTGTATTTAAACTAAATGTAACTTTATGTCAACCAACATTTTGGAGCAAACAAGAACGTTATTTGCGGTACTTGGTCAACCTAGGGACTTTATTATTGAAAGTCCCTAAATATTGATAAAGTACCACAATCAACTGTCAATTTTGGGCAATCTCCCTATTGCTAACCTTGAAATATACTGAAGTTTGAATTTTCAATACATTTTTATTTAATTTACATTTTCAATATTTTATTGCGTAATAACCCAGTATTTTGATTTAAAATAGTACAGCAAAAAATTTTAATTGTTTTTTTTGTTGTTAAATAGCAGGAACTGACATTTGTCAAACTGCCATTTTGGAGCAAATGAGAACAATTGTTTGTGGTAATTGGTTTATTTAGGGACTTTTGTGTTTTTGCAAATATGTGTTAAAATAACAAGAATTTTTTTGTCTTAATTCTGCTTTTTTTAATGAATGATGGCTGAAATATATCCAAAAGGTAATTAAACTGTCACAAGCGACAGATCAGTGTTCATCATGGAATATCAGAATAACTTTCGGTGCCAAATATGCCTTGCGATGTTAGGGCTTCAAAAAAAAGTCATCAGTAGTAGATATTTTTGCTCAGCAATGTTATTAAGTGTTTATGGAGTTTTTGCAAAGAACTCCCCAATTTATTCACTCTTGTGTGATTTATAAAACCGTATATTGAGTGCAATAATTTATTTAAGGTGGTTATAGAAATATTTCAAATGTATTGACGATTACGACCAAAATAGACAAGAAATCTGACGGGTTGGAAGACTATGCTAAATCCAAAGGCCTGTGGGACGGACAGGTGAATATATAAATACCCCAATTGCCGTATACGACTTGTATTCTTTATTTAAGGGAGAGTTTAACTTTTGCGAAGCGTTTAGCGGTGAAAAGAAACCTGGAGATGCCAGATACACCGCCGGCGAACAGCTGTTGGCCAAATTCACAGCCTCGAATAACTTCAAGGAGACCGATATGTTCGGTATTCTTCGCGACACCCAGTCGGAGATCTGCAGGAGCTGCGAGGCCCCGTTCCCTACCCAGGGCAGTCAGGTTAGGAAATCTAATTAGCACGAGTAACTGTACAGTCCGTACGATATTTTTTTAAATAGACTTCCAAGAAAAGAATAAGCCAATAAAGTTCCTATTATCGGAATTACCGTAATAATTAACGGCGGCAGGGGCGTGCCTTGAAATTTTCCGATCATGTCCAGTGTCGTAAAAGTGACGCAGGGGTAGTTACACTCTTTTTGTTATTTTGATTTTAGGTTTCGGTACTTTCCGCCTCTCGGCCAAGCGTTCACTGGTTCACCGCCACCCCGGATCCATCCAAGTCCGTTTTCAAGCCTTTCGTTTTCACCAAAAACGCGACTATCTCCAAACACACCCAGAGCCCAACGCCTGAGGTGGGTAAAATTACCGTTTTCAAATCCACATCTTGTAATTATAATTCCTTGTATCGCTTAGGAGCCTCACACTTTGTACTCCCTCCATTCCGAGGCGATCAAGAAGGGCAATCAGGTGCAGGAGTTGCTGAGGAACATGGAGGCGGAGTGCGTCGAGGAATTGGAGACCGTGATAGGGAACGTCGGAGAGGACCTTTCCGAGTTCGACGATTTGCTCAAGGATTGCGTTGAGACCGAAGTTAAATTCTACCGTTAATGCCCCTCGCCAAATATTTACAGGGTGGTCACAAAAAAAGCAACAAGTTTTGATTTATTTGATGAAGGTTAAATCGTTTTTTGGACCACCCCCTACACCGTAGGCAGCGCGGTTATGATATATAAGTACGATTTAAGTTGCTTATTATTGGTGTACTTGCGTCTTTAAGGGAACGTAGATCTGGAGGCGACGTTCAAGGACGGCGCTGCGGTACTTAAGGTCTGTGGTGTGCTTAGTTGTCGCTGTGTGGCAATAAGACTAAATATTTAGGCTTTTCAACATTAGAATAGTTTTAAGTATTTGTAACGGGTAGGTTTGTATCGTCGGTACCGTGACGAGAATGTCTCGGAGGTCTCCGATTGTCGAGGAATAACCGGAAGGAGTTGGATGAAGAGTGTTTGTGTTCAACCGTTGTCGGTTTTACATTTTGCTTGCATTAATGTGTAACCGGTCGCTTTTCTTTTAGACTGGCATTGTTTTTGCTTACGGTATTTCAGCGAGCGTTATGTTTCGCAGAGAGGTGCTGCCCAACCTTTTGAAGAACCTCCGCGTAAAGAGAAGAGCTCTGTTCCAGCCGTCAAGGTTATTACTAACGTAATTTGACGAAAGTTGCAGTGAGAATACCGCTGATACAGCCACGAAGAACCTTTACACGTTGATCTGCATACACAAAACCTAAATTCGTTCGTGAACAAGACACGCTTATTTTTCTGCAAAATTAAAGCTTGTTGAAATGCTGTAAGTAAAAATGGCTAGCTCTGCGTCTATTTAGTTTTGCGCAGGATTATTATTATCTGCCAAACGGACTTTATGCACATGCAATGTTGGAACATGTAATTAACTAAGGCAAATTGGTTCGTCTACCCTTTGGGTTGCTTTTTTGTTTGCGTTGGCAGCCTGTTTTTCATTTTGTGAGGAAAGTATAATGCATCTGTTTAAGTCTATGCACTTAAATCTATTTATACATTGTGATAATTTATTGTTATTGTTTTATATATTTACTCAAACTATTAATATTTTATAATCTAGTAAAATATTTTTTAGTTTTAATTTTGTGTACGGCTTGAGATATAAGCTTGTGGAACCACTGTATTATTATGTCTAATGAATATTATTTGCACATTCCACTGAAATAAATGAATTTAGCATGAAAGCCGTTTCATTTCCTGCATATTTCAATTTTTACTTGGTATATGGAACATTGATGAAAGATTTTATATACTCCATGTACTCCACACATTTTTTTTATTAAAAATTTAACTACTTTCCTAAATTTCAACTTGCACCAATTTATAATACACAACAATTTTTAATAAAAAATATTCAACAAATCAGCGATTGCATTATCTCGAGTGTAGGCGCGACAGTTTGTCATTGTTCATTGTAAACGGGTCATTAATGGCGACTCCCAAAATTTGGGGATTTTTCATTACCAGTACCAGCCCTGCAATGTTGGTTGCCTAAGCTTAGCAGTGACTTGTAAACATTTATGAAGGTTCGTATTTGTAATGTTACTTTTGATGTATTTTTGTTGTTTATTGACGTATTTTGAATGTGATTCTACTTTACTGAATTTCACGGCAAATTTGAAGTATTTTTATGCAGTCCGATTTATTTTGACGCTTTCTGAGGGCCTTTTTGATGCATTTCGATATATATTTTATAGAAGATTTGGTACTTTTCAAAAAATTCGAAAACTTATTTGAGAATTTTGAAACTCTTGATGTAGGTATTTTGTTTTATTTTGAAGTATTTACTTTTATTCTGAAGCATTTTTAAGATAATTTTTCAGATTAATCAGATAATTTTTTCATGTAAAGGGATAAATTGCTCTTTTTTGACATTAATTCGAAAAAAAATAAATACCGGGTGTTTCAGAGTTGATGTGACGAAAGCCTAGGGGATATTCCGCTCAGCAAAATATGTAACAGAGTTCATATGAACATGGGTCTGAAGTGCTTTGTTTCCGAGATACAGGGTGTTAATTTTTTTTTTAAATTGAATTTAAAAAAAAACTAGTCCATATGAATGAAATTTTTACGGTTTATTAAAACAATTTTCATACATCAACTGCACCAATTAGATTTGATCCAAAACTTTCAGCGAGCAAATCTTTTTTTTTTTGTAGAAAAGAATATCACCCAGTAGTTTTTTTACGGTTTTTATGTAATATTCAGATAAGCCACTAAAAATAGTACATTTGTGTCTCTTGACTCCTTTTAGTGTCTCGCTTCGTTTTTATTTTATTTATTCCCTTCTACAAAAAAAAAAACCACTTGCTCGCAGGGTATGCCCCTGAAAATTCTGGATCAAATCTAATTGGTCCAGTTGATGTATGATAATTCTTTTAATAAACCATAAAAATTTCAATCAAATTGGCTAGTGTTTTTTTAAAAACCTCGATTCAAAAAATAAAAATTAACACCCTGTATTTCAGAAACAAAGCACTTGTGAACCCACGTTCATATGAACTTTTTTACATATTTTGCTGAGCGGAACCTCCCCTAGGCTTTTGTCACTTCAACTCTGAAATACCCAGTATACATATATACAGAGTGTCCCGAAATTAATGGGACACAGAGATATGTGTAAAATAGATGAGAATATTTTTCTATTAAAACTTTCGTACACACACTGAAAAAAAAGTTATGACCAATTTTTATCAACCAAGAGTACATTTTGTAGCCACCTCTAGTGTCTACAGCACAGTTAAGTCCGGATTCGTTTTCCTGGACCCAGAAACCCCCGAATCTAAATTTTCAAAGTAATTCTTTGGAAAGTTTTTAAGTTTTAAGAATTTCGATCAAAATTTTGACTTTAACACACTGTAAGTAACTTTTTATTCACAAATGGACTAAGGTAAATTCAGCAATATCGCACTATTTTAATGTAAGGAATCTACCCTTGCTCTGTGCCCTATTAATTTCGGGACACCTTGTATATAGCATATTGTTTATTTTTTTCTGGATTAATGTCAAAAAAGGCAATTTATACTTTTACATGAGAAAGAATGACTGCAAAAAACCTGTGATTTTTGCCCTTTTTTCACAATTCGCAGAGAATAAAAAAAAATACATAAAAATATGTTTTTGGTCGCAATTTACTTGTCGTAAAAAACTGAAATGAGCATAGCTTTTAGTATTTTGAAAATTTTAAATATCATCCCTACTTAGGGGTTGAAAAAATGCCAAAAATGAAGAATTTGAATATTGCCAATTGATATAAAAACTATTAGCATGTGAATTATCTTAATATATTTTTATTGGAATTNGGCAGCCTGTTTTTCATTGTGTGAGGAAAGTATAATGCATCTGTTTAAGTCTATGCACTTAAATCTATTTATACATTGTGATAATTTATTGTTATTGTTTTATATATTTACTCAAACTATTAATATTTTATAATCTAGTAAAATATTTTTTAGTTTCAATTTTGTGTACGGCTTGAGATATAAGCTTGTGGAACCACTGTATTATTATGTCTAATGAATATTATTTGCACATTCCACTGAAATAAATGAATTTAGCATGAAAGCCGTTTCATTTCCTGCATATTTCAATTTTTACTTGGTATATGGAACATTGATGAAAGATTTTATATACTCCATGTACTCCACACATTTTTTTTATTAAAAATTTAACTACTTTCCTAAATTTCAACTTGCACCAATTTATAATACACAACAATTTTTAATAAAAAATATTCAACAAATCAGCGATTGCATTATCTCGAGTGTAGGCGCGACAGTTTGTCATTGTTCATTGTAAACGGGTCATTAATGGCGACTCCCAAAATTTGGGGATTTTTCATTACCAGTACCAGCCCTGCAATGTTGGTTGCCTAAGCTTAGCAGTGACTTGTAAACATTTATGAAGGTTCGTATTTGTAATGTTACTTTTGATGTATTTTTGTTGTTTATTGACGTATTTTGAATGTGATTCTACTTTACTGAATTTCACGGCAAATTTGAAGTATTTTTATGCAGTCCGATTTATTTTGACGCTTTCTGAGGGCCTTTTTGATGCATTTCGATATATATTTTATAGAAGATTTGGTACTTTTCAAAAAATTCGAAAACTTATTTGAGAATTTTGAAACTCTTGATGTATTTTGTTTTATTTTGAAATATTTACATTTATTCTGAAGTATTTTTAAGAAAATTTTTCCGATTAACCTAGTAAACTTTCCATGTAAAAGGATAAATTGCTCTTTTTTGACATTAATTCAGAAAAAAATAAATACCGGGTGTTTCAGAGTTGAAGTGACAAAAGCCTAGGTAAGATTCCGCTCAGCAAAATAAGAAAAAAGTTATTATGAACACGGGTCCGCAAGTGCTTCGTTTTCAAGATACAGGGTGTTAATTTTTTTTAAAATTGAATTTAAAAAAAACGCTTTAGCCGATTTGAATAAAATTTTTACGGTTTATGAAAACAATTATCATACATCAACTGGACCAATTAGATTTGATCCAGAATTTTCAGCAAGTCATTTTTTTTTTTTTTTTGTAGAAAAGAATATCACCTTGTAGTTTTTTCGCGGTTTTTATATAATACTCAGATAAACCGCTAAAAATAGTACATTTGTGTCTTTTGACTCTTAGTGTCTCGCTTCGCTTTTACTTTATTTATTCTTTTTTACAAAAAAAAAGAAAGACTTGCTGGCTGGGTACTCCCCTGAAAAATCTGGATCAAATCTAATTGGTCCAGTTGATGTATGATAATTGTTTTAATAAACCGTAAAAATTTCATTCAAACCGGCTAAAGTGTTTTTTTATAAAAACTCAATTTTTTAAAAAAATTTACCATCTCGGAACCGAAGCACTTGCAGACCCATGTTCATATGAACTATTTTACATATTTCGCTGAGTGGAACCTCCCCTAGGTTTTTGTATCTTCAACTCTGAAACACCAGGTATACATGTATACAGGGTGTCCCGAAATTAATGGGACACAGAGATTTGTGTAAAATAGATAAGAGAATAATATTTTTCAATTTTTAAAATTATTGTACACACACTGAGAAAAAAGTAATGACCCATTTTTATCAACCAAGAGTACATTTTGTAGCCACCTCTAGCGTCTACAGCACAGATTCGTTTCCCTGAACCCAGAAACCCCCGAATCCAAATTTTCAAAGTAATTCTTTGGAGTTTTTAAAAATTTTAAGAATTTTGATAAAAATTTTGACTAACATACTGTAAGTAACTTTTTTATTATTCAGAAATGGTCTAAGGTAAGTTTAGCTATATCACGCTATTTTAATGTAAGGAATCTACCCTTGCTCTGTGTCCTATTAAAAAAAGGCAAAACCTGTGGTTTTCGCCCGTTTTTTCACAATTCGCAGAGAATTAAAAAAAATACATAAAAATATGTTTTTGGTCGCAAATTACTTGTAAAAAACTGAAATGAGCATAGCTTTTAGTATTTTGAAAATTTTAAAAATCATCCCTACTTTTGAAAAAATGCCAAAAATGAAGAATTTGAATATTACCATTTGATGTAAAAACTATTAGCATGTGAATTATCTTAATATATTTTTTTTGGAATTTTTACAATTTATTATTTCTGATATTCTCTATTTTTGCGGATAATTCCACCCCCTGAGCGCGCTTAAGGGTGGATTTTCTAATTCAACATGCTTATTTCAGTCGTGAGAATAAATCTTTCTTTGTATCAATGATCATTCAATAGAAAAATTCACATGCTAATAGTTTTTATATTTATTGGTAATATTCAATTCTTCATTTTGGTCGTCTTTTCAACACCTAAATAGGGATGATTTTTGAAAATTTTCAAAAAACTAAAAGCTATGCTCATCTTAATTTTTACGACGAGTAATTTGAGACCAAAAACATATTTTTATCTATTTTCTTTAGTTCTCTGCGAATTGTGAAAAAACGGGCTATTTTTGCGGTCACTCTTTGGACAGGACATAGCTAATACAATGCGAAACATTGCCTTAATGTTAAAAATGTTGTCACCGCTGTTCTTGATGGTGAAAATTCAAAATATTTGAAATTATTCAATTTTCTTGGCTGGAAACATGTCGAAACCGGGAGAGTTGTGTTAACCAAATTAGGACAGCACATACAATGAGAAACATCGCCAAATGTTGTCACCGCCGTTCTTGGTGGTGAAAATTCAAAATATTTGGAAAAAATAGAGAATATCAGAAATAATTGTAAAAATTACAAAAAAAAATATGAAGATAATTCACATGCTAATAGTTTTTATATCAATTGGTAATACTCAAATTCTTCATATTTGACATTTTTTCAACCCCTAAGTAGGGGTGATTTTTGAAAATTTTCAAAAAACAAAGCTATGCTCATCTTAATTTTTTACGACGAGTCATTTGTGACCAAAAACATATTTTTATCTATTTTCATTAGTTCTCTGCGAATTGTGAAAAAACGGGTGATTTTTGTAGTCACTCTTTTCCTGGTTTAATGTTTAATAATTGAAGAGAAAATTGCAAGGGATCTAGAATAACGCTGGTTATAAAAAATTGTAAATAACAGCAGGTATCGTAGCAAGCTTACGATTTGCAATTTTGGGAAAATTATGATTTCCAAATATTTCATAAAAAACTTAAACAATAACTTGATTACTGTCTAAACTTCATATTCTCACCCTGATTTTTACCAAGCAAGTTGAATGACATAGAACGTAATATCCAAGGCAACGGATTTAAAACATTTTTAATTTTAATTGCGTATAAACATGAACAAACCGATACTAAAATGGTCTCCTACACTAGCCATCCACAAACCGGACAATATAGTCTCATCGCATGCAAAACCGGCCTTCAAGCCTTCATATGAGAACGTAAGTGTTACTTCCCCCGTTTAATAAATATTTCTAGGATTAACGACTTTAGGAAGCGGAAAATATGAACTTCATAATGTCCAATGAGTACATGAGGATGTGGTTTAAAGAGAAACAATTGCATGAGAAGGATACTTATGCCAGAGATCAGATCATCAAGAAAGAGCGTAAGATTAAGAGAAGGATGATCCAAAGGATGATGACATACAGGAAACCGTCAAAAAATCATTTCATAGACGACTTGGTTCAAAGGTAATTAATTATTAAGGAATGTTGAATACGATGTAGCAGAAGTACGCCGTTTTTATAGACAAATGGGACAAAATAAAGGGAAGGACCAAGAACAGATGAAAAAGAAAATGAAATTCAAACCGGTATGTCTCCCAAGTCAAATTGAAGGTAAAATTAAATCAAAAACTAAGGATCATGGTAGTTCAAAGACCAACAAGGACGGCGAGGAAAATGATTGTATTAAAGGCTGTTGCGAGATAGCGGTGTGCCCCATAACATGCAGGCAGAATGGCTAAAAAATAAATATTAAATACTATACTCTATACTTACTTTATTTATTTAACCATATTTAACTTACTGTAATATACAGGGTGTTTGGATTTGATCCAGAATATTTTTGGAATCGAGAAAACTGAACTGGTTTTACGATATCGTGGAATTGGGGTTTATTTTTAAGGCCGGGTCCTTGGTTTAATTGGAACGAAAAAAAGAATTTTTTTCAAGCCATTTTGTCCACATCAACCCCCACGTTATTAAATTTCCTTGTGTACTTTGGAACATTCATGAAATCACAACACTATTACGTCTGAAAATTGTAATTTGTAAGTTTGTAGAATAAAGTCCACTTGCTTCCAACCTACAAACACTACATACACTGGAAAGTCGGTATCATGAAGTACAAACTGCATTTTTAACGCCTACTACTACAGAATTTATTTGGTTTAATCTACTTCCAAAAATTTAGAAGAAATTTAAAGTGGAGGTCCATCGCCCATGATTTTCCGATACGCAATTCGAAATAAGAACTGTCGATTAGCAGAATTTCAAAATCCTACGTAAATTTTTAAATTCATACAAAATTTTGGCTTAGGATTTAAAAATCATTGACAAAATAATTCAACTTGAATAATTACAAGATCATTTATAAATGCAGAAGAGAAAGTGGGCTTAAATTTGAACTAAAAATAGATAAAAATATGTTTTTGGTCTCAAATTATTCGTCTCAAAGAATTAAGATAAGTTTTTTTAAAATTTTCAAAAATCGCCCCTATTGAGGGGTTGAAATGACCCCCAAAATGAAGAATTGAATATTACCAATAAATAGAAAAACTATTAGCGTGTGAATTTTTCTATCGAATAATTGCATGCATTGATGCAAAGAAAGATTTATTCTCATGACTGAAATAAGCATGTTGAATTAGAAAATCCACCCTTAAGCGCTCTCAGGGGGTGGAATCATCCCCAAAAATAGAGAATATCAGAAATAATTGTAAAAATTCCAAAAAAAAAAAAATATTAAGATAATTCACATGCTAATAGTTTTTATATCAATTGGTAATATTCAAATTCATTTTTGGTATTTTTTCAACTCCTAAGTAGGGGTGATTTTTAAAACTTTCAAAATACTAAAAGCTATGCTCATTTCAGTTTTTTATGACAAGTAATTTGCGACCAAAAACATATTTTTATGTATTTTTTTTCTCTGCAAATTGTGAAAAAACAGGCGAAAGTCACAGGTTTTCTGCAGTCACTCTCTACTTGTTGGAAAATTAGTCATTTTATGTTATAGACAATTAAATTACCTTCAATTTAAGGTCGCTAGAGCCATTTTTAACTAATTTGTTAATTGTAAAATAAAGGTGGAACACGGAAATATCAGTTTTCGAAAATTGCGCTTTATTGCAAAACGTGATAAAGTGATAAAATTTATGGAAAAGACCAAGTCAATCCAAAGACCAACCTGTGTGCCAAACGCCGATTCAGTAGCACTTTATAAGTAAAAAAGTAGGACTACCCAAACTGCGTTATTAACAAATTATTCCAGGGTCAGGCAAAAGCTTGGCCTTAAACTAAGAAGTTGAAAAAATTAGTCCAATTAATTAATGCACAGGGTTTTTTCACGATGAATTTTCAAAAATTGTCAAGAGTTAAAGTACATTTGTTTTTAAAAATACAAAAAATATTTAGTTAAAAAAGTTATTGAGAACTAAAAGTTATGACAAATTGTCAATTTTGATCGGCCAACTTTATTTTTTTTTTCTTTACTTTCAATAAAATGGACACCCAGCGCATTCAACACAAATCATTCGAGAATGGCTAGATGGTCAATTTCCTGGGCGGTGGATTGTCTGGGCGAAATGTCCCAACTCCTTGACCTCCTAGAAGTCCTGATTTAACTCCAATGGACTTTTATTTATGGGGCTATCTCAAGCAGAAAATCTATGGGTCCCCGTTGAATAACAATTTATTTGAATTGAAACGAAGAATAAGAGATACAATTAATGCCATGCCAATTCAAAAAATCCAAAACGCTTACACAGAATTTACCAAGCACGTTGAACAATGTGTCATGGCAGCACATTTGAATAACCATTACAATATTTGTGTATGTTTATTATATTACGTTTTTTTCTCTAATAAATAATTAGGAATTTGTACTTTGTGGTTGTGAAAAAATAAAAAAAAACAAAGTTGGACGATCAAATTGAAAATTGACAATCCAACATAACTTTTAGTTCTCAACAATTTTCTTAAGTAAATATTTTTGATATTTTTAAAAACAAAGGTACTTTTTTACTCTCGACAATTTTTGAAAATTCATCGTAAAACACCCTGTACATTAATTAATTGGACAAATTTTTTCAAATTCCTAGTTTGAGGCCAAGCAAATATAATGCCTAGAAACTCAAATTTCAACTCGAAAAATTTTTGTTATTTACATTCCATGTGCACTCAATCCGTGGACACACTGTATATACATATATAATGTTAATTGTTAATTAACTGTACAGACCGGGATTTTAGAGACAATTAAAGAAAGGGTTAAACTTTTATTTCTAAAAAGTTCTACATTGATAGTTCACGTAATATAAAACGTTAAAGTCAAAAATCTCGTGCGCGACGTACTCGCGCATGCGCGGGCCCAGCGCTCTTTCTCCCACTTGCAGGTCATTCATTATCGTTAACTTTTACTGCTGCTAGCACGTTTATTACATAAACCGTCAGTGTAAAACTATCTGAAAATAAATGTTTAACCCTTTCTTTAATTGCTTCTAAAATCCCAATCCAATACGTCTTATTAATTAAAAATTAACATTATAAAAAGATATCTTTAGAACTAAGAGGTAGGCGATTCCTCCTTTTTTTTAAATTACTATAAAAATAAGCTTATTTAATGCAAAAAGAGCAAATTCCCGAGCGGCTTTTGCCTGACCTTGGGACAATTTGTTTATAAAGCTGTTTCGCACGTCCTACTTTGTTATTTGTAGAGGGCAACTTAATTTCAACTGTTTGAAACTTCTTTTTTGATAAGTTTCTTTGGATCAATAAATTAGAACCTATATCTGCGATATTAACTTCTAAAACTAACGTTTAATAATTAAACAATTAGTTGCAAAAAAAAAACAAATGAAACGAAAGCGTCACTTCCTTCGAATTACTTTTTTGATATTATCATTCTATACATACCATTCATCGTCAATAAAATGTCTACTAATAATTTTTTCATGTTCAAACCCAAATTCGACTGGAGTTTATGTTTTCCATAATACAAAGAACCTGCTAGGAAACATTGAAAAAAAAGAATAAATGTGTTCTAATTCAACCAATTTTTATTTGCAACTTTAATAAACAATATACAAGGTTTTGCCCAACGGAGTAGTTGTGCGGTTAATTCCAAAATCGAAAGGCAAAGGGCAAAAAAAATGGAAACTGTGGTTTAAACATCATAAATAATATCAGTTATAACCTCTCTTTATTTCTAAATACATACTTAGAAAAAAAAAACATCACATACGTCTAACGGACGAAACTCATCGTTAACATGAAGTGAAGGTGTTAGGGTTAGTTTTTATTCATTAAAAACTTAAATAAATACTACAGAAAAATAAAGATGAAAAATGAAAAAACCTTAAACTGTGGAATGTACAAGGAGCCGTCGTTGCACATTTTAACCAAACTGGAAAGTGAATCCTCCTGGCATGCCGCCATACGAGAATTCTTGTCCGTGGCCTCCCCCGAAGAAGGAATGGAACACCTGCGTGGGATCGATATCTGCAAAGAAAGTTTATTTGAATTTGTAAAGTAATATACAGAGTGTTTTCTAAGCAAGGTCCGTAACTTTAGGACACAATTCCTTATGGTATTTAAAGAAAATGTGACCCGAAATGCATAGAGTCTGAAAATAATAAAAATTTTAACAAATCGAAGCGTTCTACATTTATGACAAAAATGTCGACTAACTCACGGCTAACTGCGCCACTGGCGACAGATTAAAATCGTCTTTATACTAAAAATGCAGCTCTTTACCAACGTACAATATCTGTCAAATTTTAAGAACCTAAAATTGACTGTTCCAAATTTATTTCAAATAATATATTTTTTTAAATTTTCAACACCCCGCATCTGAATCTAAGCGTCTGTCATCGTTTATAGTCACGTTTATAGGAACTTTTTTTCTTTAAATACCATGAGAAATTGTGTCCTCAAGTTATGGACCATTCTTAGGAAACACCCTGTATTTTATTACAAAAATATATTTATAGACTGATCGAAATAACTCATTTAGAGGGAAAAAAAAGAAAATTGTTACAAGTGAAACTGGCAGGGGTGGCGGACGGTTGATTTGGGGGATTGAAAAGTTGGAAAAAATTGTATCACTGGGATTTCTGGTGAAAGTTGACTTCAAACAAAAAAGTATCCAATACAAAAGTTGTAGATCATGCAAAAGTCTACAACTTTTGTAGAGCTCACTTTTTAAGACAACCTTAAAATTTCCGAGAAAAATGCAAGTTTTTTTTTCTTATTTTTCGTTTTTTATTTCTCATTTCCGCAAAAATAATTTAATTTTAACGAAACTTGGTGAAAGTGTACCTTTTTGTGTCTTAAATAACCACAATTTTTTTTAGATAACAAAATGAAGAAGTTTCCGTGATATTCATTTTTTTCGGTCTTATACACTTTTTTTTTCAAAGAAAAATTCTGCTTAGAAAAATCATCGTACAGAGTTCTGCTGGTGATCACTTTTTTCGTTTTTACATATACCTTTTTGGTGAAATTAAAAAATCAGTAATCACAGTTCAAAAACATGCTAAAAAAATGCAAAAAAGAATAAATGACTTGAAAAATAAATTTTTCAGTAATTGTTGATAATTTGTTTAAATATAATAAAAATACAAAAAGAACCGTCATTGTTGGACCCAAAACTTTATTTTTGTACTGTATTGCCGTAATCATCTAAGTCGAATAGTGAATAATTACAATAATTTTTTTTTTCCGTAGGATCCATTAGTGTACTTATTTTTTGTACATTTTCATGAATTCATAGATATACTTCATTGTAGTTATTTTGTTTCCAAGTCACAAGCTGAAAGTATGCTTTATAGGAGTTTTGTGTAGCTGCTCCAACAGTTGGTGGTAAATTTCTAATTTAAAAGTAGGCTCATTTGGGCATTTGTAATTTAACTTGCATGTTTATAGAAATACTGTATAAAAATAGTTTTAGGTCAATCAATGAGACACAGGTTTGTTTGTATTTTTTTCCGTACAACTGAATGGTGTTTTTGATTTTTTTTTTAATTTAAACAAATTATCAACAATTACCTACTGAAAAATTCATTGTTGCAAGTCATTTATATTTTTTTTTAGCATTTTTGAGCATGTTTTTGAACTGTCACCGGCAGAACTCTGTAAGATGATTTTTTTAAGAATTTTCCTTTGAAAAAGTGTTTCAGACTGGAAAAAATGAATATCTCGGAAACTTCTTGATTTTGTTATCTAAAAAAAGTTTGTGGTTATTTAAGACACAAAAAGGTAAACTTTCACCAAGTTTCATCAAAATTAAATTATTTTTGCGGAAATGAGAAATAAAAAACGAAAAAAAAAGAAAAAAACCTGTTTTTCGCATTTTTCTCGGAAATTTTGAGGTTATCTTAAAAAGTGACCTCTACAAAAGTTGTAGATTTTTGCATGATCTACAACTTTTGTATGACACAATTTTTCACAACTTTCCAACACCCAAATCAACCCTCCGTCACCCCCTACTCACGCATTTATTTTTTTACGTTTATTATAAGCCCCTTTTCCATTTCCACTTATAAAAGTCCAGGTAACAATTTTTTTTTCTCCAAGTGTAATTTGGTTGGACTATTAACGAAACCGTCTATTATTTTTTGATACCCAATATCCAAGGTAACGGAATTTGAAAATCGTGTCATGTAGTGTTATGTCAGGAGTTTAATATTCTAATTTATAAAAATGTACAAATCTCTACTAAAATGGGCACCCGCTCACCCTACCCGCAAACCAGATAACATACCCTCTTCATCCACAAAACCGGTTTTCAAACCATTATACCTACATGTAAGTCCTACATTTTAATAAGTAATTCCCAAGCTTTTATGAATAAAAACTTCAGGAACCCACAGAAAACATCAACTTCCTCTTGACCAACGAGTACATGAAGATGTGGTTCAAAGAGAAGGCAGTATATGATAAGAACACCTACATCAGAGAGCAAATTATCAGAGACGAGTGTAAGATTAAGAGAAGGACCATTCAGAGGATGGCGACATATAGAAAGCCCTCAAAGAATCAGTTCATAGACGAATATGTTGAAAGGTAATAAATTCTCTTTATCGAATATAGATATAACGAAGTGCCGACTTTTAGAAAACTTGGATATAATAAAATAAAAAATAGAAAAGAACAAGAACAAGAACCGAGACAGGAAAAAATGAAATTCAAACCAGTGTGCCGTAAAACGGTACAAGATAAAAAAGAAAGCACAATTAAAAAAGAAAAATCTGAAGCAAAACCTAAGGATCCTGAAATTTCAAAAGTCAACGACGAAGATAATGAAGAGACTGAAGAAAGTATTAACGGTTGTGAGATAGTGGTAAGCCCTCCAAATTGTAAACAGAGTGGTTAAAAAATGGATACAAAGAAAAAAAATGGTTTTATTTCTTCCTTTCCCCAGACATGCGTTTTGTAATTTGATTTTTTCTCGTCTTTGTGGAGTAATTTGTCTGACACTACTCAATTTTCGAATATCGACATATTCCCCCAAACTAGTCAATTTGGACGATTTCCAGGACAAGAAAGCAGATATTCTAATGATTTAAAATGGATATTGAAGGGGAAGAGTACTACTTTCAAAGATGTCGTAAAACATGACGTGATGGAGTAATTCTGATATCGGATTAGGTATCAGCGCGTAAAAAACCTTGAAAATATAGTTGGGTTTCTGGTTTAGAAGATCAGTCACATTTTATCACTTAAGGAGGTATATCGGGGTCCGAGGGAAGTGCCAATTTGAAAAAATTAAATTCTATTGAAATTATTTGCGATAAACATTATCTATATAGCAAAGAAATCTAGTCAATATGCACATAGCATACATATTGAAAATTAACAACATAAAAATATCATATTTAAGTAGTTTTAAATTATATTTAATGAACACATAAAGACTATGTCGATGTGGCAGCAGCGCTAATAATTGACTAGCAGTTGTACACACTGCCAACCTACAGACCTCGGACATCGGAGATATTGCGCGTCAAATTCGGGTAAAGATGCGTACGCGTTCACAAATGTATTGTGTGTAAATTATGTACAATATAATTATTATATATAGCAAATATATCGAATTATCCTCGCGAAGATTTGTATCCTTCATTTAAAATCCGTAAATCATGTGAACTGGTAAAACAACGAGAATTATGTCAATTTAGTTCTAAAGAAATGAAATGACACTCGCGCCCATCTCTTGTCCAAGTTAAAGAAAATGTTGGATGCAATTTTGAAGGTTCTGTGATAGAAATTACATTATTACTCACTGTTCGTGTTTTTCATCTTTATTTTAGTAATGTTACAAAAGTTTTGCAACTATAACTAATTTTTTAGATATAAAGTTTGCTGATAAATATTTACGTTCCTTTGTTATTCCGTACAAATGCTTTTATCTCAAGTATTACTAATTATATTAATCAAGTAAAGAAAACTTTATGTAACCGTAAATATTGCTGGGTACGGATTACGACGTTTTTATAAACGATTAAATATATTAAAAGGATTTATCAACTGTATTTTTTATTCCAATAAATATATCACAGCTTCCTAGCCTTTTTTAATTAATTTAGTTTTTAAAAACATTAAAAAAAATAATCTATTGTGGATAATTTATCGTTGATAACAATGTACATGGGATTTAGGGAAAATGTATATGTTTGAAATCAATTTTGTTTTTATCAAGTATTTCAAATGTATTCCCTTCTTGCTGTCAGCTGATTGCGACGTTGCCACATTAATACAGCTGTACTGTGTTCAAAACTTACATTAGTTTTACATCAAAAATAAGATAATACTGTGGTACTATCTATGGAAAAACTTTGTTTCACAATTTCTAAATTTTTTACTCAGTTATGGGCAAAAAAAGAGCCGCACCGTCCATCTTCTCCATATAAACCTACGTTAAAATGAACAACTTTCAACAATATCTCAAAATCTAGATTCAAAAAAAATTTCAAAAAAATATGACGCTATATAAATTTCAAGTACATCTGTGCATTTGAGTAAACCCGATATACCTCCTTAATACACATAAAAAAATATATATATTTACAAATAAAATAAAATAACTAGGCGGTTACGTCCGGAACAAGGACAAATAATAAAGTAATTAATAATGCACCGACACTGTGTAGGCGAAATATTTGCGACTATTCGTTTACAGTTATGTTACAGCGTTCTCAAGTGACTCATATTCCTGCCCACGCTTACCAAAGATGCTAACAATATGCAATGAATATTTAAGTTTTACTGAAGATTGAAGATTTGAAGTTTGAAATCCGAAGAATGATTCACAGCAAATATAATTCCTGACCAGAGGACTTGACTTTCCGATTTCAGAATGTCTTTTCTGAAGAACATCTCTCGAAACGCCTAAACCGACGACATACCAACAGCTCAGAAATCGTTCAATCAGTCACAACTGCCGCAAAACCTTCCAAACCAATTTAAAAAGGTCTTACCTGACATTCCCCCATCGAAATCATCCATGTCCTGCCCGCTGTCGTATCGAGCTTTCTTCTTTGGATCCGAGAGCACCCCATACGCTTCCCCGACTTCTTTAAACTTCTTTTCCTGTTCCTTCTTCTCGTTCTCCGTAGCATTGGCGTGCCTATCGGGATGGTGTATCAACGCCCGTTTTTTGTACGCCTTCTTAATCTCCTCATCGCCGGCGTTCCTGTCCACACCGAGGATTTTGTAGTAGTCCTTACGTTTGGACCTCTTCAAGGCAAACTTGGCGTCCTGAAGCAACTTTTTGTGTTCCCTGCTCTTGTCCAACTTGCACACTTTCTCGTAATCGCGAACGGCCTCCTCGTAATCCCCCAAATCCATGTAGCACTTTGCCCTTCTGAGGAGGGCTTTGAGGTAAGTATCGTCGAGATTTAAAGCGGCAGTACAATCAGCGATCGCTTCTTTGGTCTTGGTTAGTCTGGCAAGAGCGGTAGCGCGGTTGAAATATAATTTGGCGTTAGTTTTCTTGTTGAGTGGGTCCACTTCAAGCGCTTCCGAGTACAACTTGCAAGCCTCTTGGAATCGGCAGAGCTTGTACGCTTCGTTTCCCTCTTCTTTCTTTTTCTTCAGGAGTTTCGCCCGTTTGTAGACGTCCATGGCTTTCTTGTGGTCGGGGGCCAGTCTCAGCACCTGTTGGAAGTGTTGGAAGGCGCTGTCAATGTTGTCCTCGTAAAACAGACACATGCCTCGGACATAAATAGCATCAGCGTTGCCCTTGTTGTGATGGAGGATGCTGTTGGCGATTTCCTGGGCTTCTTGGTATCTCCCGAGGAATGAAAGGCATTCCCCTTTGGTCAATTTGTATTTTGCACAGAAGGGGGCCTCATCTAAACATCTATCCATGCAGTACACCACTCTGCGGAAATCTTTTTTGTCGTAAGACTTTGTTGCATCGTTTTCATAGAGCTTGAGCTTTTCCAGAGATTTCAATTCACTTGATATGCCCGACCCTTCCAGTTGTAGTTCTTGTACTTTTTTTATTGCGTATTCGGCCGTCATGAGGTCACCGAGAGCTAGGCTGCATTTGGCCATTCTTATGTAGCCCCTTACGAATTTGGGATCCAGCTGAACACATCTCCTTGCGTCTTCTAAAGCATCTTCATATCTATTTAGCATTATGTAACAAGCGGCTCGATTTCCGTAATACGCAGCTGTGTCTGGGCATAGGTTAATAGCTTCGGTATATAGAGGAAGTGCTGATCGATATTGTTTGATTTTGTATAATTGATTGCCATTTTCTTTTTTCAATTCAGCAATTCTGTAATTACATAATTCTTACTAAGGTTAATGTTTGCTTAATTTAACAGACGTTCATCAACAGTATAACTATGGTTTATTTTTTGTTTATATCAAGTATATGAGTATATCAAACAAAATCTAAAATGTCATATTACTTATTATACAATTACAACTAGAACAAAAAGATTCCTTTTGTAGGCAAAATTTTTTCATTGTAAGAACTCCTGCACAAACCTGTCTTGACTTAGCCACTATATGCGTTGGATGCTGATCAAGGCATTGTTATTTTCCTCATAGGTAGGTATTTGACCTTTTATTTATATTTAGTTTCTACAAATATTATTTTTAATACTAAATAAAACTCGGGGTAGATCCACATTATTTTTAGTCGTAATACCTACGTAGCGAATATAAATCCACGGGAGCTTTAATATTGAAATTCAAAACAATGAAACGGACTTCCTTACAGAACTCTAGAATATTCATCGATCACGCACAAATTTTAAAGGATTAAAGTCTTTAAACGTTATGTAACTACTTGGTTAATATATAAAAATATAATGCACAATAATATTGACTTACTCTTCTGTACTTTTAGGTAAAATATCTTCATTTTCATCGGAGTCCATAATCACTTCATCTACAACGTCCGCCATCTTGAAATCTAAAGATTTTGACGTTTTTATTTTTGCGCATGCTTTTTCGACCCTCTCTGCCATTGCGACTCTAGCGCCAAAACCTCAGCGGTTTAAAAAATTTGTACAGATAACAAATAACTTAAATTTACATAGTTCTCTAATAATTTTATTAAAAACATTGACGGCTGTCATTAGGTGGCATCAAAATGAGTACGATTGAGTTTGACAATATCTTAACACATTTAGATAAGTATGAGACGTCCATAGAAAATTACCTGATACACCAATCTAATTGTCTCCTGCAGAGTTGGGAACCCAATCAGTTTTTGGCTTACCAGGAACCTCCCGTTCAGGTCAAACAACCTAGTATTCGTATTTGGGAATTTTTGGAAGAGAAAAACTTGAAAGAGTTTCTACTTTTACAGAAGAAATACGATATCAGAAAATATATCGGTAAGTTGTGTCTTTAGTTCCATTCCAGAACTACATAAATATTTTTAAGATTCGTGTGTTGGCAAAAGTCGACCCAAAGGAAAAGCTAGAAAGATTTTTGTGGAACTAATGTATAATGTCACAAAATTTTGTAAAACATCGGATTACAATTTAGAAAAAACTGGTGCTTTATTATCCCAGTTTTACTTGACGCACTTGTTTTTCACCAGTAAGCTGGACATATCGGCGGAAAAAGTGTACACTTACTTTAAAGATCTCACCATGTGCCACAGCTTACCGGTAAGTAAAAAAATTGCGTTTACAATTTGAATGCGGTCAAGCCAACAGTATTTCAGTTCCCTCCGAATAGTACCAAGATATTTTCTCACAGAGAAACAAAGGACGTCATGGAGTTGTTCTGTAAGTTATATTTACGAAACCTCCCGTTGATCAGGTTTACGAGTCTGCCAAATTTTGCTTTTTACTTAAACTTTGAGCTCGAACCGGAACCTGATCTAAGTAAGAAACCGAAAAAGGCAAAACCGGAAAAAAAGGAAGATAAGATAGAAAGCAAAAAGGAAAGCAAGAAAGGAAGCAAAAAATAAAAGATTTGAGATGTATTACATACATAAATTTAAACAATAATTTAACACATTTTAACTTTTTTTTTAATGCTTTTCTTCGAGTTGCCTTGTTCTCTCTTCTAGATGTGCCACTAATGTCGTTTGATGACTATTTAACTGAGTTACTAATTGTCCACCAATACTGTTAAGGGTCTGAACGAAACCAGCTTGAGCGGCTTGTAAATTAGGGATTAAGCTGTACCCCGTTAATTCGTCTTTACTTACAAACCTCCCCTCATAAATTCCGGCTGAAATTTTACATCAAATAGATATGATTAAATACAATTTAAAAAATTACCTAATAGTATTAGTTGAGGAAACTTCTTCGTAATATTTAGCATCTTCTTAATATCTGGCTCTGGACTAAACACAGTCATATTCTGCGAGACATAAAAATCTAAAACGACTTCATATGGTGTCCCTTTAACTGCCACTTCTAGAGTCTTCTTACCATACTGCTTGAAATGCATTTTTTGTTTCTTAAATAAAGCATAAGCCTTAAACTGATCTTCTGAACTCATAGGATTTAAATGATAGAATACAACTAATCTAGAGGATGTAAACCATCGATATAATTCCTGGGCTATTATACGCTGGAAAGGATTATCGACATCTTTGCTTTTAGTTGCATCAACGCCTTCACATAGTTCCACCTTCAGTTTGCCCTTATTTGGATTTATATAGTAAGGCTTGGCCAAAGCCAGGAAAGTAGCTCGTTCGAAATGAGGCGGTTTCGGTTTTTGAATATTTATTTTACCTCTGAAACGTTTGAACTGTTTCATGCAGGAAACTGTTTGAAATAAAGCTGAAAGAAATTTATTAAACTAGAGATCGCCTAAATAATAAAAAAAATACCTTTTCTCGACAGCAAGGACATTTTTATATACTAATATTTCGTAACAATTTGTTAACCTATGAGATAAATAAAAAAAATTCATATAGATGTAGGTTATGTTCTATTGTGACAGATGACAGATAAATAGCAGATGGCGCTAATGGCAGATTTCCGATTTCATTATTTTTAGTTCTTATGAAACCAATCATACAGCGGGACGTAATAAAGGTTGTATACTTTGAAAATAGGAAATAACGATCGTTTTTTTAAATTTTACTGATATTATTTATTAAGATACAATTTACTGGTACCTATATTACTCAAATCAAAATAAGAATATAGTTCTAAGCAAAGCAGTAAAATAAACGACCTAAGTTAAGACAAATACTCAAATACTCCCTTTTCCACACCTACTGGTTGGTAGTTGCTAGGCAACTAGTATTGCGAGTCCTGAAACGTTAGCGACGAAGTCCTGAGTCCTGCGTCCTAAGGTTTAGATTCCTGAGGATGTCCATTATTAATATGCTAGGAAAAAATATTAACTTCTCACAGATGGTGTAGTAAAGAATATGAATGAAGTCGAATTATTTTAATATTCAGGTTAGTAGTTTTGCTGAATCAAATAAATTAATGTATCTCTTCAGTAAGTATAGAAATAAATCAATAAATATTTGAGGGTACAAATATTTTAATTATTCACTTAATTTATTGGCTTATAGATAATTGTGCTGTTCATGTTATCTCTGATACCATGGCCGGGACCAACAGTTTTCAAAATATCATGTCCCAGAGATAATGCCAGAATTGTAAGGAAAATTGTGCAGAGTAAATGGATCCCCATACTTGAAAAGTTCAAAGTAACTTTACCTCTAGAATGCCCTTTCCACCCGTTAAGGGACATTTTCGGACCACAGCAGTCAGCCAAAAAACAGCACCGACCCTCCCAATGGACGTGTGGTATCTGCGGTAAATCATTTTTCGAAGAGAAATACTTAGATATGCACTTTGACAATCGACATAAAGGATATATTAATATGGTTAATATATTTTTCTATTTTTTGATAACGTAATATAAATTTTAATTTCCTGTAAATATTTACAAAAATAATTCAAATTAGTGGTAAGTTGTTTTTAGTTGAATTGTTAAAATAAAATTGATTTGAGACTCGTAGAATAGCACAAACCCATGAATTTGTAGGCAGAAGATGCAGTGTGCCTTGCGGATTATTGCGACATAATGCGGTGCGATGTGTTGATGACTCAGGATTTAAAAACTTCTTATCCCGAGCACGAAAACACAGACATAGAGATATGGAGGGAAGCATCGTCCTACTCTAAAGCCTTAGCCACTTCGGGGCCAAGACACGTAGCTAAGTATACTTTTAAGAATGGAAATTACCCGCACTTACAAAAAAACTCAAAATCCGACTTAAGAGAAAAGAAACATTGCCAAAAAACTGAAGCACCTGACACTACAAATATTAACGGTAACCTTAGTATTGTTAGCGTTATAAATGTGAATATATTGTATTTAATCTTCTTTTAGATGATCGGAGCTCCAATGAGGACGACAAGTCACAAAATATCTCGAATAATTTATGTCAGAGCGACTTGGTGGATTCCGCCCTCCCTGCGCCCGACAATAGGCAGCAGCGGATTGCGGAACTGCAGAAACTCAAGGCAAATTGCAAACCGGAGGAGCTGCAGAAGATCAAGACGAAGTGCGAGATACTGGTTCGTGACTGCATAGCTAGTCTGCTTATTCAGCTCTCCGTAAAGGACTTTAAAGAAGTGGAAGGTATTTAGATGGCTTATAATTTTATCAAATTCTTTTTTCTTTTTTAATCAAGTAAATAGTCGAGTTATAATTGGTTTTTAAAATGTACTTTAATACTTGTGAACGTCGCCACTGTAATATTCAGGTATTATACCTGAATTGTAGGTAACCTACAGTGCGTGCAAAGGGAGATACTGTGGGTCAACGATGATGAAGCGAAGGTCGTTAGTTATTGTTCTCGATTTGTGTTTTTCATCGACAGACTATTTATTCTTGTGTATTTCATTTATTGATTACTGCGTGAGTTTTTTGATAGGTCACCTGTTAAGTACTGTTTGTATGTCGAACACCCACTCAACAGAAATAACTCGCAGAGAATGGTGCGGAAGTGTGCATGTGCTGCGATTAAAGCGCACCATTATTTGAGATTACACTAGCTTCTTCAGTAGCGGGGTATGAAAAATTTTTTTTTAAATCTATTTTTACGACGGAATTTGAAAAAATAAACTATTGATATGTGTTTCTGAAGGTCAAAGGGGGCCTCTGTATAAATATGGCCCCCACTCAAAGGGTGACCGCAAAAATCGCCCGTTTTTTCACAATTTGCAGAGAACTAAAGAAAATAGATAAAAATATGTTTTTTCTCAAATTACTCGTCGTAAAAAATTAAGATGAGCATAGCTTTTAGTTTTTTGAAAATTTATGGGTTGAAAAGACACCCAAAATGAAGAATTGAATATTACCACTAAATATAAAAACTATTAGCATGTGAATTTTTCTATCAAATGATTCTCGATACAAAGAAAGATTCATTCTCATGACTGAAATAAGCATGTTGAATTAGAAAATCCACCCTTAAGCGCGCTCAGGGGGTGGAATCATCCCCAAAAATAGAGAATATCGGAAATAATTGGAAAAATTCCAAAAAAAATATATTAAGATAATTCACATGCTATTAGCATATTAATTGTCAGTGTTGCGAGAAACAACTACTCCAAGGGTTATATGCCCCTACCGGCATTGAATTATACTCGCAACACCTAGGGTCGTTTGTCAGTCTACCCACCAGGCACAGACCGGTTTCAGACTTATTAGTCCTCATCAGTGTGTCATAGGTGAGACAACCAACGAACAAACCAGCTGTTTTGCGTCGTATCGTCACGACAAGGAAATACATTGTACGCGGGTGCGTTTCTCGCAACATAATTAAAAGTCTAAGTACGGGTAATTTTTAAAATTTTCAAAATATTAAAAGCTATGCTCATTTCAGTTTTTTACGACAAGTAATTTGCGACCAAAAACATATTTTTATGTATTTTTTCATTCTCTGAGAATTGTGAAAACACGAGCGAAAATCTGAGGTTTTTTGTGCGGTCACTCTTTATATGTGTATCTCAGTAAAATTATGCGTTAGCTTCAAGCGCATACCCAATGCAAGCTACGGTATGCATTGTGCCAAAATATCATCTTACAGCCATTAAACAATGAAATAAATTTTTATATGCATTTCATTATAAAATAATTAAATTTTATAAAACACAACACTGTCCTATATAAATTCTGTTTCAATTCCAACAAAAATTAATATGCGTATTATAAACACATTTTCGTAAACTGATAAACGGAAAACTAAAACAAATGTAATAAATTGAAGCGGTGACCTAATTGGTCATTCTCATTTCGCTGAATTAACGTCCATATGAAATTTTAGGCATTTTTAATAAAATTGGTGTTTTAGAAATAATTATAATCAAAACAAAAATACGTTGAGAGCACATTGTTATTATCCGTATTTTCCAGACGAATTAAACAGGGCTGTGTGTTGGTACCTCACGTGTGATAGATACTGGGAGGACTCCCAAAGTGACATCAGGAGCTTTCCCTGGGGTTTGCTTTGTATGATAATTATGGTGATGTCCTTGGGGATTTGCCTGTGTTATTACGTTATATGGGTGCTGTTTGAGTAAGTATTTCAGTATTTCCCATATGTTACTTTATATATCATCGCAACTTTCTTGAAGAATACAGGGTGTGTACTGAATTTTTACCAAAAACTTTCTGATATTTCCAGCCGACTTTAGCAAATGTCCAGATTGCAGGATATAAATTTTATATCAGCTTCCATTTTTCTGTCATTATTTCCAAAATATTTTATCATACCTCCAATGTACATATTTAACAAAGCGTACTTACTTAAAAAATTGTACATGATGTTTACAGAAAGGTTTAGTAATTTTTTCAGTTAGATTGCAAACAACAATGTTACAGTTGATTTTTAAAAAGTTACGGTAATATTCGCATACGAAAAAATTACGTTCTTTTTGAAAATGCAAAAGGAAAATCTTTTTCTGAATTTTCTCAAATTTCGCATTATTGAAACGACATGTTGCACTTTAATAACTGCTTTCTTAAATATTGTGTTTGTAATAATTAAAAATGGTGGAGAATTTTCAAGAAAATTGTTATGAAGATGTTTTAATTGTCAGTGTTGAGAGAAACAACTATTCCAAGGGCTATATGCCCCTATCGGCATTGAATTATACTCGCAACACCTAGGGTCGTTCGTCAGTAAAACCCACCAGGCACAGACCGGTTTCGGACTCATTAGTCCTCTTCAATGTGTCATAGGTGAGACAACCGACGAACTAACCAGCTGTTTTGCACTCCCGTGTATAATTGTCATGAAGAAGTTAGAGATTAGTGAAAATTTTCATAATTTTAAAAAAATATTAAGTATCACATTTCTCAAATTTTTAATAATTAATTATATATTGTGTAGAATATAAATTCGCAGGTCTTCCAATTCTCCAAAAATAAATTTTACAACACCGTAAAGTTAATAACAGCGAATTTACTTTTCAGCGTAGTAACATCTAGTGGTATTCCATATTCTGGTAATACCATGTTTTTCCAGACTGGTGTACAATCGATATAATAAAAATGTTGACGAAACGATGTTATCACTCGTGAAAGTAAAAACTTTTTCAGCACCGACGACGTCAGTGTGGCGAGCGCCAGCGTCACAGACCGTTCCACGCCATCACCGGCCCACATTTTGAAACACGAAGCATCCACCTCCCCCGACGGCAGCCAGGTGTATACCGAGGATTATTATTTGGCCCCGGACAAAGACAATGAATATATTTACGTAACTTACCCGCCGGACCTGAAGAGGAGGTTATTAGAGAGGTATGTACGAACATTTCGCATCTTTCAGTGGTTCTTAAAGTGCCTTCTTACACAAATACACTTGGAGAGTAAATTAATCGAGGTGTGAAAACTCCCAAAATATTTTTTTAATTCCTACCAACTTACTACATTGATACGGTGAAAACTTTTTTGGAACCGCTGACTATATATATTATACATAAAGAATTACAGTTGCCTCGCAATTTTCATCAGCGTTTCCATATCACCATAATTACCTAAAATGGAACTAGCAATTTTTCCCTTTTGTACGAAAAACGGTCAAAAAAGTGGGTGTCACGCCATTTACTATTGACCCCTTTTTGTGTAGCATGTAAGTCAGCTACGATTCCGGAAGTTCTCAATAAGTTTTAACAATTTCTATAATCAATATTTTAAATGCCATTTTGCAGCTCCAACGGCTTTAATTATTGAAATTACTTAATATCGGAGTATTCTGCCTACCATTAAAGAATCCTTTCCAAGTTTGCACATAATAAATGGTGATAAATTAAAACTACCCTGGTACGATCGTTATTAAACGTGTAAGAACGTACTTTACCTTTACTTTCTGTAGTTTTCTTAATAAGGAGTTTGGTTACTTAGCTGCTACAACAGAACTACCCGCTTGTGAAACATAGAAACAAGATTAGCTAGAAAATTCTCCGTACACGACATTTCACGGTGTCTTAGTGCCAGTAGATAGTACCTTAGCGATAATTAGATTTGCATACTTAGTATTTTATTACAATGAGGAATGCCGCTTTCTATTGAAATATTTGTGGGATATCTTTGGGATAATGATGCTTTCATGATGATAAAATTGACTAAAATATGTAAATGTAAATTTTTTATAAAACTACACAATTTAAATGTTGTGGTGCGCTGTGAGCATTTCCCATTGAATGTTTAAAAAAAAATTATAGTACTATGAAGAAAATTCTTAACGTTTTTCCATGACACTAGATAGATATTATTTGTTTTAATTTAGTAGTGGTACTTAGCAACTAAGCTATGACATACAATTAGTTTAGTGAAATAAATTAGGGTTAGTACTAATCCTTGCAAGTCAGGACAGACAAAACGATCGGGATTACCCCCCGAGGTCCAGAACATTTTCAAAATTGCAAAAATGTTTAAAAGATTTTTAAAAACACCTATTTTATCTGAGTTTTTTACTTGGATCTTGAAACCTATGCATTTTGGAAGAATATTGAAGGGGAATAAAGTTTTAGAATTGAATTTTGCACAATATACTGCAGATTAAATATGTTTGAATTTATTACCGATGTTGCAAAATAGCAATAATTAATGAAAACATTTTAATTGCTCCGAGGCCATTTTAATTTTGGTAAAAAAAACTTTAGAGTATAATAAAACAACACACCAAATTTCATTAAAATCGGTTCGATAGTTTTTGCAAAATAATTTTTTGAAAAAAATTTGAAAACATTTTTTCGAATTTTCAAAATGCTGCACAGCCTCAAATAAAGCGTCTAGATCTTTGAAAATTTTTTCACATAGAAAAGACCGTTCAACCTTTCAACTGGTTTTTGAAAAATTGAAATCAGTTGATTAGGACAACAACTGTAAATTTTTAAAGTTAACACTCTTTTTTTTTATTTTTAAACAAATAGATAACATTTATCAATTTGCAATTTAGTGTTTTTCAAAAATTATAAGAGATTTTCAGTAAAACGATACACTATACCAATTTTCAACAAGTATACCTTTTTTATGTAGAATTGTCCACGGAATCTAATGATTATTAGGTCATTGGCGTAGAAGTTGGAGTAAAAAAAATCCTCTTTACTACCCATTCCTACGCCACTGACTTACAAAAATTAGTAAATTTTACAGTAAATTATGCACATATGTAAATGTTAACACCACATCAAATTTGAATCAATTTGTTATAAGCATACCAACGATTTCGTAAATAATATGATTCTAACAACCGACCAATACGGCCCTGTACAGTGAAAACGGTGAGACTTAGACCTTTACTTTATAAGGCAATTCTGAGTTATTTAATGAGTTCTATTTGTGGTTAAAGTTTGCTTCACTCGAACTAAAACACCCTGTATATACCATTATAAATAAAAATACCCAGTTCGGCAGCTGTAAGACTCATTTTTTGTTCGATTATCAGTACATTTTATATACTGATAAGAACTTCAGCCAAACAAAATCACATTTTATTACTGTTTCAGAAAAACTTAGTGACCCATATCAATTCACGAGATAAATCCGACGAACATAACAAATCACGATTATATACGCGTTAAACTCTAATCGTTACAGCATATTACTGGTTCTTGCAGGAAAAATCTTTATGAAACAGTTCGGGTTCTGACTTTCACGTATTAGCACTAACCCTAAAGCAAATACGATTCTTCTACAGTTGAGAACTTGCCTGAACGTTAACGATAGAGGAATCAGTTAAAATAAAAATTTGTGATTTTTATCCAACTTTTAAAAGTAGTGTTTTCCATGGAATATATTTTTATTATTAATTAATAGCCGTTCTAGAACTTTTCACTTCACAAATTAGGATTCGAGATATCACATTTGTAAAAAAAAGAAACATGTTTAATTAGCTTTCATAAAGTCTTGTTCCCTTTCCAGTCAACGATTAAAATACTCTTTAAACGAATCATACGAAATGATGTACACCTTTGTAAATGGTTTAAATAAAGATTTATTATTAAACTCGTTTCATTTTTATATCCAATAACTTGAGTATGCTGATTAATACTTTCAGACGATCAGCTACAAACTCGTCACAGATTTGAAGCAGTCCATGCAATATTGCCATACTGATGTCTCGGTACAGTATAGTTAATAACCGATGGTTTTGGATTAACAGATTTACGCATATATTTCTGCTAAAATAATTGAAATTATTTTTTTTTTGTTTTTATCTGCATTAGGACAAAAACCCACTATTACACTCCGACATTTCATCTTTTTTATTACATATTCAGGAGTTTGAATGAATTCCAATTTCTTTGAAATAGAAAAGGTTAATATTCTCTATTTTATATCTAAGGCACTTATGTACAATTACAATTATATAAAACCCAACACAGTCTCAACATATTTAAAAAAAAAAACATGAAATTTGGAGGTTTTTTTTTATTGTACTGTCTGACCTAATCTTTATCAAAAAAGAAAAAAGTAGCTGCCGAAAATCACCAACACAATATTTAAGGAAACTGTTCATGATCGGCCACATGCATCGGAATAAGCGTACATGAAGTATATAATAAAAATACCCAGTATGGCAGCTGTGAGAGTCAATTTTTTGTATGTTTGATTTATAAGCTTGGTACATGTTACAATGAATACGGATATATTTTTGCAAAACACAAAAATAGCGTTTGCAACAAAATTAAAGAAAAATTTAGAGGATATTTATTGAATTTTATTCTATGCAGTCATTCAATTATGTCAAAATTTTGTCTGTTTTGTTGTTAATATGAAACAAATTCTATATTTTGGAACAATGCTTCATGTGTGGACTGTAGATACATAGAATCCCCCCAATTATTTGTCAGTTCTGAATTTGGTTATAAATCAATGAAATTTGTGGAAAAGTTGACTTTTTTTAAACTTTTTCTGGAATTTGTGTCCCTCATCACTTTTTAACATAAAAACTGCGAATTTCTAACCTGAATCAGCCTTTACAGTAATGAAACTTTAGCCCAACTTTGAACAAAATGAATTTCAGACGTAGCTCGACCGGCACATTTTTAAAATTTTTTCGATGTAGCGACTCGTGCCAAAATTTAATTCAGTAAATAGACATGAATATTAGGAAAAATTCCGTAGAATTGAATGAACTACTTTACCACAGCTGAATGTTAGGGCCTCGTTTCCAAAATGCCGTCCAAAGTTCGCAAAAAACATTTTCTTCATTTAAAAAAAAACATTTTAGAAAAAATGTTTTAGACAAAAGTTGTAGAACTTTTTTAAGCAAAAAATTTGAGAACAACCCGATGTCACTTGAAAAACAAATGTATTAGTTATTGCAAAAAAACAGCTAAAAATAGCCTTTTTTAAAAATTGTATCTTGAAAACGGAAAAAGATTTTCTTACGAAACAGAATATGTAGTCCTTGGCAAGTAGAATAAGTGCATTTTTGTAAAATTGGGAAATATTTGATAGTTTTTGCAAAAATTGAGTTTTTTTTTTTTAAAAATCATTTTTTTCCAATTTCTATAAATCGTACAGTAATAAATACACTTACGTGACCCATCTTGGGCTTAAAATTTTCTCTAACACTTGTACTTTCCTGTGCAAATTGTGTGCGTATTGCAAAATAATTGCAAATATGCAAAAAATCTACCGAAATTTTTGAGTATGTATATCTTTTTCTTATCATTGAAATTTAATCGGAATGGAATTGTTGACATTTGAAAGCTGACATTTTTTCACGAATTAAAAGAAAAATATCCTATGACCAACAGGAGTCGAGAAAATTTTTTTTTTTTTTTCAAAAAATCGCTACGACCTCATTTATTAATAGTAAGGTCTGAAATTTACTCACGTTGTAGTTAAATACTTTTCCTTCAATATAAAAATAGCCCCCCTTTTTTTAGAGTAAATTTAATTTCTGTTGTGCCCCGTAAAATGATTGATCTGCTCGACACGATGCGAGTGGCAGGGGCAGAAAGACTGTGGAAAGATCTACATTTATCGAGCCAAAAAGTGAAGTCAGTTTCGGCAGATTTTTTGCATATTTCCAATTATTTTGCAACAAGCGCACAATTTGCACAGGAAAATACAACTCTTAAGGAAAATTTTAAGCCCGAGATGGGTCACGTAAGTGTATTACTGTATGATTTATTGAAACGAAAAAAATGTCTTTTTTTTCAGAAAAACTCATTTTTGCAAAAACTATCAAATATTTTGCAATTTTACAAAATTGCACTTATTCTACTTGCCAAGGACTACATATTCTGAGTTTCATAAAAAAATTTCATTTTAAAGATACAGAAGTTTTTAAAAAATGCCATTTTAGCCTTTTTTTTTGCAATAACTAAGACATTTCTTTATCAATTGATATCAGACTGGGCTCAAAATTTTTGTTATAGGTTCTACAACTTTTGTCCAGAACATATTTTTTAAAATGAAAAAAAAAACTTGTTTGCAAACTTTGGACGCCATTTTAAAAATGAAGCCCTAACATTCAGCTGGGGTAAAGTAGTTCACTTAATTCTATGGAATTTTTGCAAATTTTTACAAGTCTGTTTACTGAATTAAATTTTGAAAAAAATGAGGTATTTTTGATAATTTGACTGCCTGATTGAGGAACTAAACAAAACATAATCTACGATACAAATCCCTAAGCCCCCACTCAGCGCCGAAACAAGGCTCTAGGCAGAGTAGGCACACGCCTATAGGCGCAAGCTGCTAGGGGCACGGAAAGGAGTTGAATACAAAAATTAAAAAAATATTTTTGTAAAAAAATTATGGGAATTTTTGCAAAATCTTTATAGTTTCCGAGAAAAAAATTATTGAAGTTGTAGTATTTTCAACCTTTATATCGCTGGACTGCTGTAGTCTAGCGTCATTCGTGTTGTACGCTGTGAGCGACGCGCTCTCTCTCAACATGGCTCCAAACGATTCCGAATACTGAAATCCGATGTTAGTATTTACGTTTTTGCGATAGTGTTTACATTAGTTCTTCAGGTATCAAATTTGGTTTAGGTGTATAGGAATTCGGGAGTTGATGGATATCGTTTTAATTTATGGTGAAGCAAGGCAACATTTGTGTTAGTTCATGGAAACTGGTTAAGACGGGCCCAAATGTGTTTACATGTCGGTGGACAAAATTTTGAACAGTTGTAACATCAGGTGGGTATGTCAAATTATTTTATTAACTAAAACCACAAATTAATTTTATTAATTAATAATAACAATAATTTTATTTATTTCTTTCCTTGGGAAAGAAATTCTTCCAATTTTTGGTTCATTTTTTATTAGACTTTGCCCCGTGCCGGTCGTCGTTTAGCAAGGTCAGGTTTTACAGTGTACCAGTTTCCAGTGCCGTGCAGAAGTGTATTTTCAAATCATTTTCGAACTGCCCTTTTTGATTTTTTTAAAAATTAAATAATAAATAATTAAATACAAAATTGTATGTGTAAGAATCCCCTGTAGGTATATTCATTTTTTTTTTGGATAAGTCTGAATCAGCCTGTATATTAGCTTTTTTTAATTATTTTTAATTAATTTAAATTCCTTTTTTACAAATAAAAACTTATATACTTAAAAATAAGTAATTTTTCCCAAACTTTTCAAAGCGGTGTTGCATGTTTTTGTTATTTTTTTTATTGTAATTTTTATTTTTTCTTTTTTGTTTTTGTTCTTTTTCATACAAATTTTCATGAAATCTTGTTCCCTTTTCAGCCGACGATTAAAATACTCCTTAAACGAATCACACGAAAAGACGTACACTTTCGTAAATGGTTTAAATAAAGATTTATTATTAAACTAAACTCGTTTAATTTTTACAATTAGTAACTTATATCCAGTAAGTTGAGAATGTTGCATAACATTTAAGACAATCTGCTAAGATATCGTCACAAATTTAAAACGGCTTGTGCGATATTGCCACACTGGTGTCTGTCGGCCACGGTACAGTTAATAACGGACAACCGACAATCGACAAATTAGAAATCTTCCTCGACTACGTGCATCCCTCGTGGAAGAGACTTTACTCGGACGATGAGGCTGGAATCCTATAAAAATCAGGGTTACTGGAGATCCGCACGCGTTCGCTCTCGCACACCGAAATGGGAAATTTACGGAAAGTAGAGTCGTCAAAGGAGAGGGGAGGAGAGAAAAGGAGGGGGGAAAAAAACCACACACGCACACACCCACGCGATTTCCACATGCACACATTTAAACCTTATCTCTGAAAAAAATCTGAAAAAATGAGAACGTTAACGCCTTCTGAACGGGATACGCCTGCCGTCCCTCGCACGCCCCCTATTCTCTTCTATCCTCCGCTTGTGCTCCTCCATGCGAACCAGCCTCTGCTGCTGCTTCGTCACTATCTGAAAGACAAGAATTAAATGCTGTATGCGTCCGTTATAATCCCAAATAGACAAAAATTTATTCCTTAGGCCAAAGCAAGAAAAACAGTTCCTTGAAATGATTGAAAACAAATGATTTTTAGGGGCCCCCAGATATAAAACCAAGGATTGTTCATGATCGGCAACATACAGGGTGTCCCGAAATTCATGCAACAAAATTTGGTCACAGATTCTTAAGACGAAGAGTGACCATTTTTTCAAAATTCGCAGAGAACTAAAGAAAATAGATAAAAATATGTTTTTGGTCTCAAATTACTCGTAAAAAATTAAGATGAGCATAGCTTTTGGTTTTTTGAAAATTTTCAAAAATCACCCCCATTTAGGGGTTGAAAAGACGCCCAAAATAAAGAATTGAATGTTACCAATAAATATAAAAACTATTAGCATGTGAATTTTTCTATCAAATGATTCTTGATGATACTGAAATAAGCATGTTGAATTAGAAAATCCACCCTTAAGCGTGCTCAGGGGGTTGAATCATCCCCAAAAATAGAGAATATCAGAAATAATTGTAAAAATTACAAGAAAAAAATATTAAGATAACTCACATGTTAATAATTTTTATATCAATTGGTAATATTCAAATTCTTAATTTTTGGCATTTTTTCAGCCCCTAGGTAGGGGTGATTTTCAAAATTTTCAAAATACTAAAAGCCATGCTCATTTCAGTTTTTTACGACAAGTAATTTGCGACCAAAAACATATTTTTATGTATTTGTTTAATTCTCTGCGAATTGTGAAAAAACTGACGAAAATCACAGGTTTTTTGCGGTCACTCTTCAGAGGACCCATATTTTTTATTTCTGTCAAGTGGCCCCCTCTTTCGGAGTTACAGCCCCCTGAAATAGGCCCCTAAGAATAATCTTTTTTTTATATCTCAGAACCCTGTTGTACGAGAATCACTAAATTTGGTACACAGGGGTTTTATGACACGTGGAATCTGGTGGTGCTACGCTTTTTTGCGGGGAACCCCCTTAAGACAATTTTTCGTGGGACCCCTTGCCTTTGGAGCTAAAAAGATTTGGACGCATATTTAAATTTCTTAAAAATTATTAGTCCGCCAGAAACCCATTAAATTTAGAAACTTTTTTGTCTCTCGATATTTTTTTCATAAAACGCATTGTTTTCGAGAAAAATGTTAAAATGTGATCGAATGTGTATCGTGAAAAAAATATCGAGAGACGAAAAAGTTTCTAAGTTTAATGGGTTTCTAGCAGACTAATAATTTTTAAAAAATTTAAATATGCTATCAAATTTTTCTGGGTCCAAAGACAAAGGTGCCCACGAAAAAGTGTTCCCCGCCAAAAAGCGTAGCACTATCAAATTCCACGTCATAAAACCTGTGTGTACCAAATTTAGTGATTCTCGTACAACGATGATGAGATATAAAAAAGACTATTTTTAGAGGCAGATTTCAGGGGGCTATAAGACCGAAAGAGGGGCCACTTGGCAAAAAGAAAAAATACGGGTCCCCTAAATTTGTCTTAAGAATCTATGACCAAATTTTGTTGCATTAATTTCCCGACGCTCTGTACGTCGGAATATATATACTGAACATAAAAGTTGGGTCATATAATAAAAATACCCAGTATGGCAGCTGTAAGAGTTGATTTTTTTTATGTGCTTCATTTACAAGATCTATAAGCCTGGTACAGGTTTAAGTTTGGAGATCATCATGTTCATGAAGTTGATACATCACTTATACCTTTGGATGCAATCACTAACAACTCTCTTGCAATTAACAAGGAAAGACGAAGGAAATTTTAAAATAACTGTTCCATTTCTAAACAATCTAGCACGAAAACCTCTTCCAAGAAAATAATTGCTATGCAGTAAAGCTTTTATGCGTTGATAATATAAAACTACGCTTTCTAATTAAATTGGTTATACAATTTGCTAAAATATGACGAGGTACTCAAAAAAATGAAAATTATTTTCTGAAAACTAGTTGTACTATTCATGAGAAACCATCGTAACCGACACAGTGATTGTTTTACCAACCTGTTTTTAATGCACTTGTCAATTTTTCAATGATGGGCTTGACGAAGCAACGCCCGAACTTCCAATTCTATTACCTTTCAAAGAAAAAGCAGAGGAAACACTGTGAGGAAGCGTACGGAAAGGAAACTCTAAGTCAGGCAAATATTCAGACACTTCGCCCACTGCCGAATGCCACTTGAAGATGAACTCCGTTCGGGGCGCCCCTCAATAGCCAGAACAGACAAAAATATTCAAAATCAATCGATAAATTGGAAGAAACAACTGAAATTTTCCTAATTGAAACAAAAATGATACGTGTCACAACAAAGTTTGTTCCACGACTGTTTTCTGATGGCCAGAGAGGAAACTATCTCAGACTTTGCCGGGATTTAAAAAACAGTCACAAACTGATTCGAATTTTTGTCAAGAGTCATGACAGGATATTAATCGGCTGTGACTCCAAAATGAAACAACCATCCAGCTGATGGACGACAGTGTCATCGCCCGAACCAAAAAAAAGCACGGTAAGTGAAATCAAATGGGAAGTTCATAATGTTTTTTTTTTTTTATATCAGGGGGGTCGTTCACATTCAATTGTTCTTCAGGGGGCCACAGCAAACAAACATTACTATCTGCAAATGCTGCAGCGACTGCAAGAAAGAAGAAAACTCTGAAGAGAAAACGGTAAGAGGGGTGAATTGGTGAAGGCACCGAACAACATTATTTCAGGTTATAAAAAATGTTCGAACAGTAAAACTACTATTAGGGCAGTATTTTGAAGAATTTATCTCTTAAATAAAAAAAAAATTAAATTTATAATTCTCGTCTTTTTTGGGGTACCTCCTCGTATCAAACAAAATGTACAAGGGTATAAGAAATCAAATGATAAAATCGAGAGTTAAAAAATAAATCAGTATCGTCTCAAAAAGAAATTTATGAGGTTAAAGAAGCTGTAATTGAAAAAATAAAAATATATTAACCAATAAATTTTAAACGGTAATATGAAAGTTGTGTCAGTTCATCTAAAATGACAGGAATAAAAGAAAAATTTAAATTTTAACACCCTGTATCTCCGTGTTTCCAGACACGTTCATAGGAACTTTTTCTCTTACTTTGATTTTTCGATCTACTTTACTCACTCTGTATTTAAAAAAATGTAATATTTGACATCCCTGCCAAAAAAAAAAAATGATTTGATTCAAACGTACATTCAGAAAGATGGTTCGACTTTTTTTTTTAAATTTTCAAAATATTGTATTCTCAAAATCATAAATTTTACAGAATTTTTTTGAAGGTAAAAATATGGGTTTTAAACAACTGTACTTTAAATTTTTCACTTTTGTGAGTCATAAAAAAGATGGTTGACGAGCGCTTTTATATAAAAAAAAAAAATTATACACCGCTGACAAAACGCAAATTTAACTTTTTCCGATAAAAAGTGTTAAAAACTTTGTATAACTGGAACAATATTAGGAGCAATTTTGATTTGTGGCGTTAAATTTTTTCTGGGTGCTTAAATGCTGACAGTTGTTAAAATATTATAATTTTTTTTAAATATATACATTTTATTGTTAGTCTCATATTTTTATTTATTTCACAGGTGCTGTGCTATTTCAAATAAATTCAAAAGTTTTTCTAAAAAACGTATCACATGAAGTCAAACATTATTCATCAATACCAAAAATCTAAGTTTGCTCACCTCGCATACAAGATTCTTAACTTTAAAAAAGCAACCCTAAATAAAATGTAGAAATAGTAATATTTTTTTTACACGATCTTTATTTTTGGGCAATTCTTCTAAATCTAAGCAACTTTTCTTAATATCGTTTGGCAAATTTTTAAAAGTACCACGACTTCACTCTTGAATATATTTTTATTTTTTGGCCTGCCCCGTACGCTGTTGGACCTGGAACCATTCTAAGAACACCCAGCATAATTATCGGACATGCATCAACTTTTGGCGGTGATCCAAATTTTTATTTGCAAATAATAAAAAAAAATGTCCCACCCTTAATGGCGCACACTGTATATAGAAGACCGCTAAAGAACACAAAATATACAAAATCATTACCTCAAATGGATTAATCTGAAGTGAAAAAAGATGTTTCTGCACGAAATATAGAAATTTTAATGTCGAATAGTATAAACATTATGCAATTAAAACTGGGACGTTTGAACTACTCCATCAGACTTAATGCCTCTAAAATTATTTTGTCATTAGCAGTCATTTTCAGTTTTTACAAAATAGAAATTAATAATTAATATTTAACAAACGTTTGATTGAAATTTTTACATAATGTTTAAATTTGACTATAAAATACAGAATTACCTTTAGTTAATTTCTTCAAATAGGAAACCCTATTATATTTTTCATTCGTTTTAATTCTTCTTTGAATTTGAGGTCATTCTTTAAAAAATAAAAATAAAATACTGGATTAAAATTTATTTTAAAACCAGTTATGGGTCACGGGACGATTTTAACAAAAGTTTTTATTCATGAATGGGCAGATTTAAAATAAAAACCAGTTTTTTTTCATATTAAGAGGTTTTGAAAGAATTATCACAAGGATGTATCGATTTTTTTTTTTTTTGATAAAAACACTTGTTACTTCCGTTTCTATGACACTGAAAAGGCTGAAAAATTTAAAATAGCGATAGCGATAGAATATTATGCGTTAACGATTACTTCCTTTAAATAAATTTTAGGAATAAATATTTCAGAAAAAAAAAACCGAACCACTCTATACATAGAAATTACAGCTAGCTAAAACTTTATTTGAAGGAATCAGAATATTAGAAAAAAATAAGTATTTTAAACTTACTTCTTCTGGAGTAAGGGGTTGCCAGTATATGCTCGGTGTAGCTTTGGTCTTTAAAAACAAGTCATCCATCAACTTTTGCGGAACCGAATCCTCATTTTTTCTTTTCTTATTACTGATGTAATCTAAAAGAACAAACAAAAAGATATAAGCGATGTTTTTTTTTGTGTTGTCTGTACCGAGGACAAAAACTACACTGAAATGTAATTTTTTAATTTTCACGTTTCATATTGGAAAACCATTAATTATATCAAAGTATGGGTACTTGAGCCAGTTCTGATCACCATTTAAGCGAATCTCTACAATAAATTAAAAAAAAAAAAGTATTCAGAAATTATCTGAAGCTGAATAAAAATTAATGATAGAATACAAAAAAATTAGGGCAAATTATTCTGGTTATATTATGGATTAGAACGAGAATGTACCCATTCACTTCAAATTCATAACTGTAACATGTCACTCAAAAAATCCCTAGAACTGGGGAAAAAAATCTGCAAATTGGCAACACTGTGTGGTTGTGCTTGGGCATACACATCGAGACTGTAGATTTCCAAATCTGCATAGATCTCATTACAATTTATGTTACTAACGTCTATAAAAAAACCAATTTATAATTTTGAATTTTTTCACTCAATCTCCAGAACTGGGTGAAAATAACTGAAATCTGGCAACATTGCGTGCTCGGGCATTGAATAATTAATGCAATTCTGTGTTCATTATTCTGGTTATATTATGGATTACAACAAAAATGCACCCATTTAAATCATAACCGTCACATTCACTCAAAAAAATCCCTAGAACTAGGGAAAAAAATCTGCAAATTGGCAACACTGTGTAGTTGTGAACAGGAATACACGCCGAGACTGTAGATTTCCAAATCTGCGTGGATCTCATTACAATTTCTGTTATTAACGTCTATAAAAAAAACATACTTTATAATTTTGAGTTTGTCCACTCAACTAATCTCCAGAACTGGGTGAAAATAACTGAAAATTGGCAATATTGCGTGCTCGGTCATTGAATAATTAATGCAATTCCGTGTTCATCATTCTGGTTATATTGTAGATTTCAACAAAAATGCACCCATTTAAATCATAACCGTCACATTTTTTCACTCAAGAAATCCCTATAACTGGGGAAAAATTCTGCAAATTGGCAACACTGCGTGGTTGTGCTCGGGCATACACATTGAGACTGTAGATTTCCAAATCTGCATAGATCTCATTACAATTTCTGTTAATAACGTCTATAAAAAAAACCATACTTTATAATTTTGAATTTTTTCACTCAAATAGTCTCTAGAACTGGGTGAAAATAACTGAAAATTGGCAACATTGCGTGCTCGGGCATCGAATAAATTAATGCATATCCGTGTTCATTGTTCTGGTTATATTATGAATTGCAACAAAAATGCACAGTCATATTTTTCACTCAAAAAATCCCTAGAACTGGGGAAAAAACTGTAAATTGGCAACACTGCTCGGGCATAAGTACGCACTTTGGTAATATTTCTGAATTAACGTAGATTATAATGTGAAAAGTACCCATTTACACTTCATTAAAGTCGTCAACAAAAGCAGTAAAAATAATGTTTAATTAAGACATTTTCAATTTACCTTCTGGCGTGTAAGACCGGCGACTGTGTTTCCTCGATCTTGCCCTGCTCCTGCTCCTACTCCTCGAGAACCTCCTATGTGGGTCTTCCTTCCCCAAATCCCACTCGCGAATCGGAGCGTCCCTCTTCTTCCTGTCCTCCCGGTCCCTGTCCTTGCCTTTGACGTCCCCCCTTTCCGGTTCCTATTAAAAAAAAATCAACCGATTTAAAACGGGGCCGTTAAAAAAAAATGCGGCAAAATTCAACGTACCCTATTCTCTTTCTCGGGTAACTTCTCGGGAAGAACAACGGGGGCCGGAGCTGGATTCTTCGCCTTGTCCAGGTCTTCCGCCGTGGCGTAATCTATGACCAGTTTCTTGCCGTTCCCGATGGGCCAGTGGACCCCGTGCAGGGCGTTCCTGGTCGCCTCTGCTTCCCTGAAACGAGAGGTTTTTAACAAAAATTCTTTATCCACTGTATAACTTTAAGTGGAGGAGTCACATCCAAGAATTTTTGGAAAAGATTTTATTAGTTTTTAATAAAAAGCATTTGTTACATTTTTTAAAGCACCGTGTTTACTTTGCGAATCTGTGTCAAATATTTTTCACTGACCTGCAGATCAATCCACCTGATGAGATATGACAAGGTGCTCGACGAATAAAAAACAAATAGCCAACGTTAATTCCGCGAAATAATGACTGAAATACTCACTCGGAAGTCTCATACTGCACGTAACATTTCGACTTGATCCGGTCCGTCCAAAACCCCTCCTCCTTAATTTTCCCCGTCCGCTCCAAAAGCTCCTTCAGCTGTTTCACAGTGAACGGTCTCACCAAGTTGGTGATGAACAGCACGTCAGAAGTGGGATTCTTGGCTGGACTGGGAGGCGGGAGTAATTTGCTCGCAGTGTCGTCCACGATGCTTATTTTCCTGTTCATGGCTATTATGTTGGAATTGGATTCGACTTTCGCCTCCCCAGACGAATCTTCCGAGATCTGCTTTTCATAATCCGGTCTGTCGGAATCTTCAGACCTGTTGTCAATGGACGCTTTTCTCTTATGCTCGCTCTCCGATTTTTTTCGTTCCCTGGGAGTCGACTCTAAGACGACCTCGTTTTCGTTAAGGAATTCTAGACTGGGGCAGACGATTTTTATGGATTCCACGTCCACTTTATAAAACGAGGATGTGAGCTTATTCAACCAATCGGATCGCGTCCAACTTTGTCGTCTCAGGGCGACCCTTTTAGTCTTTTCCTCGCCGTCGGAACCATCTCGCGAAAGGGTCCTTATTAATTTTATTTGCTTAAATGCCTTATTAGCTTTCCCTAAAAGTTATTTTTTTCAGTATTAAGTAAATATCAAAATATTTATAAAAAAAAATTTAAGTATTTTACAAATACTTTTATTTTTACTAAAAATAAACGATTAAAATTTTGTTATAAAATTAAAAATAAATATTACCTTCTTTGCTCTGCTCTTTCTCTTCAGACAAATTACTCAGTCTCGTTTTCCTCTCTACAATCTCTTCCGATAAACTACGGGAAATACTAACGTTTTTGTTGTCAGATTGTGCCTCACTAATATTACTGTCATCGGTGGTATGTCTCTTCAAAGTAATTTTTTTACTTTGTTTTGTTTCATCAGTTTTCTTGTTTTCATCAGCGGAATTAGACATTTCAATTTTCAGAGCAGAACTTTCAATCTTGCCAGTTTCTTTATTTTCAGGTGGGGATCTTCTCAGAGTGATTCTTTTTTTAGAACCAGAACTATCACGATGTTTGGATTTTTCGTATTCTTCACTAGAAGACTTTTTCAGTTTATCGTTTCCATTGTTACATTCTGAAGCCTCTTCAGTGGGATTAATTCCGGGTTTTTCATCGCAATTTTTTTGAGACACGGCATTACTATCGATATTTTGAGAAGATTCATTTATCTCAGCATATTCACTCACAAAACCTGCTTCTAGCACTTTCTGTTGTTGATCTTCACTTTGAGTCGCTACAGTATCTTCAAGTTTGTTGCCATCTTGTGCCTTGGAGTCGAATTTCGGAGTATCATTTACATTTTGAACAACATTTTCATTATCAGCATTATCATTAGAGGGTGACTGATGTGTCCCCTGTACATTTTCATTTTCAGTTTCAGGCTCAATAATAACCGAAGATTGTTCAAAGTTTGAGTTATTTTTACCTTTAGACTTACCTTTGTTTATTTTCTCTTCCATATCTTCAATACCTTCTTTCCCTTCTTCAAAATCCTTATCATTATTTGATATGGAGCTATGTTCTTGAACATAAACTGAAGATATTTCCTTTGGATTTTGTCCGTCTATGTTGATTTCACCTTGTATGTTACTGTCACTTGCAAAAGACTCTACGGATACATCATTAATTTTTGTTTCAGTGTCAGATTTTACATCTACGGATGATGCGCTATTTTGTGCAAGAACGGAACTTTTAGCATCAGGTTGCAGCTCATCTAACTCTTCGCTTGATCTTGAAGACGATCTCTTTCGCCTTTTAGACGACTGTCTATGCGATTTCCTTTGCAACTCTGATTTTGCTTTTTCTGGAGATAAATTTCTTGTATTCCTGGAGGATTTACGACGCATCTATAAAATTAATTGATGAATATTAAAATACTGGGCCTCTAGGTTAGAACTTAAATCGTGACGCCATATTTATTACAGGCAGCATCATTTTTACCAGAAATGAGGAAAAAAACTTTACAATATATAATTTACTTACTTCGAAGTGACGATTATCCTATTTGAAAACTAATCTAGAAAAGTTGTCCCTCTTTCACCTTTAATAAATTAGATATTCACAAATCAAAGAATTAAAAACGCAATAACTGATTACTCGCCCGTCAACCACAGAAAATGAAAACTGGTGTAAATTTAGATAATCCAAATAATCGACCCATGGCCCATGACAATCGCAGAACGCCATACCCACTTTGATCCAATAGATGGCGATAAGACTTTTTTATTTTATTTTATACTTTTCTCCCCATTGACTGTTACGTTTCAGTTCCTAGCGGGCAGCCGACCAGAGCACACGTGTTTTGTGAAAGTGTAGTGCAAGGAGCAAATTCTACCTGCCTTTATTAAGGCTACCT